AAGACTAATGCTAGATCCAAGTCACGAACTCCTAACTGATCAATGATTTGTTGCGACCAATCAACATAGTTCAATCCATTAAACTTTAATCAACCCAGTGCCCATAGTAAACATGTTAAAGGAAGCATTGCAACATTACACATTCATACTCATACGTGAATGCTTCTGAGTAAGCGAAAAATAGATATCGAAACAAATACACAATCTTTGAAATATGCATCTAGAATTTCCACCTGTAGGTATATTTAAATGCATAGCTTTTAATCAATAATGCAATGCTAAGGAAGAAAAATACTTTTAATAACTTTCATTGTGACCAGCAACTTGTCGAGCCTTTTATGCAAGTCGATAAGAAGCACCCCTTTTGCGTTCTCTCTGGAATCCCGTAAGCACCCCGTGCCTCGTGTGCGAGCACGTCTGTGCTCCTTCTGAATCCTTGTTAATTTTTTGGGGTAGATATATTATTCAGTTTGCAAACGATTCAATAAGCCTCCTACAAATGTGCATGTTATCTCTGGATATACATTCATATATTAATTAGTAGGGTGACAGATCGATAAGTCTTCTTTTAATGCCATTGTTATAAATAATGGTCTACCTTGGGGTAACAGCCTAACAAAATTTAAAATCAACGATTCAATTGTTTAATTCTTTCTTTAATCTTTGCATTATATTAACGCATGTACCAAATATGAACAATTGGGGAAAACTGCATAATCTATGTCGAAAACCAATCCAAACAAGCGCCACTTTGGTTGTACTAACAATTTTATCCATTCAATAAACAGAAATTTATGCAAAAATTTTTATGAGATTAAATTCGAGATCTCAAAACCTTAACGACAATACACTAATAATATGTTATAACCTAGTTACTGCTATAAATCTTATAGCAAAATAATTTATAAAGAAGAATGAAAACTTTTCAAATTTCTATTAATTTTGGCTTCGTCAATCATCAACAATATGAAATTAATTTTCATAAAAAATTAAGCCAAAATAAAACATTACTCAAAAAATCTAAAACAGTACTAGGCTCTATTATCCACGATTGTTAAATAATTCTTTAATATAAGTCCAATCTATTGTTGCATAGAATTTGTTTGATAAAATAAGACAATAAACGGAAGCGTACTCGTTGTCCTATTAACCGCAGATCTATGTTATGAGTTACCTTTTTGGGTAGACAATTTGAGTCTCATCTCGAAGCAAGACATTATCTATGGGGTTATGTTTCTTCTTTCATTGACCCTTTTGTCCGTAATTTTTCTCTTAATAGCTCAGAGAACAATCAAACAGGTTACCGGGAGTTTGATTGTATGAGTTCTCTCAAACAAATCATATCACCGTATGTATTTGAGGCCAACCGTCCACACTCTCTACTATTTTGTTTTCTTTTCTGGTTTTCCCTAAAGCTGTGATTCCTTTTTTACTTTATAAGCAGAGGAAGGTATTATAATATCCCTAACTTAGCGGCTCAAACCATTACAGAACCTAAGAACCATCATTCTTGCTGCCACTTAATTAGAACCTAAACACTTGTAATCACAGGGCCACATATAGATTATGACAATAATCTAAAGCTAATCCACAAACAGAATACCATACAAATAGTTACTAAATTACAGATGGCTTCATGAACAAGTAACAAGTTTGTTTCTTGGCTTTTGCTCCAAAAAAAAAAAAAAAAGTTCTTATTTATACCTCGAAAAGCCTCGAGCAAAAAAAAAGCATCCTAATTGCTACGAAGACGGACTCAGTACCATAGATTTCTCTAATGGATTGTCAACGGTAACGTACAGGCTCTGATACCACATGTTAAATAATCTTTAATATAGCCCAGATCTATTGTTCATAGAATTTGTTTGATAAAAATAGACAATAAACGGAAGCGTACCTTGATCCATAACCGCAGATCTATGTTATGGGTTACCTTTTTGTAGCAATTTGAGTCTCATCGTAACAACATATCTATGTTTCTTCTTCTGCCCTTTTGTCCGTAAGTTTTCTCTTAATAGTCAGAGAACAATCAACAGTTACGGGAGTTTATTTTATGAGTTCTCTCAAACAAGCTATCACCGTATGTATTTGAGGCAACCGTCACACTCTCTATTTTGTTTTCTTTTCTGTGTTCTTCCCTAAGCTGTCGATTCCTTTTACTTTTATAAGGCAGAGGAAGGGTATTAAAATCCTAACTAGCTCTTAACCATTAAGCCTAATAACCATCATCTTGCGCCACTTTAATTAGAACCAACACTTTAATCACAGGGCCACATATAGATTATGAAATAATCTAACAATGCCTACAAACAGAATACAATACAATAGTTACAAATTGCAATAGCTTATGAACAAGTAAACAAGTTGTTTTTTGAGCTTTTGCTCCAAAAAAAAAAAAAAAGTTTTATTATACCTCGAAAGCCTCGAGCAAAAAGAAGCAGATCCTAATTCTAAAGCGACTCGGTACCATAGATTTCTCTAATGGATTGCAACGGTAACTCTGGTGCCGTTGATGGCTTTTCTGCTTTGTCAACGGAAGGTAAAACCGGAAGAGGCTCCAACACAGATGTTTAAACCCCAACAAACTCAAAGCCCATTATGTTGTAATTTGAATGGAATTGAAGATAAAGGTTTTAAGTATCTGCGGTTTTGAGAGATTTGGAAAAGTTTGCTTATTTTGAGCTCCGTTGCATAATTTCCTAACAATTTCTGCATCAACAGAATACTCACTTTCACGGGTTAAAAATAATTGCAAACAAAGTTCATAATTTGGCTGATGCATATTACATGGACAGTGCGATAACGATTTAACTAAATTAGCCTGTATGTCAATGGAATTTTGCTTCAATGAAAAGTTAGAACTTCAAACTTTGTGTGCTGTCAGCAGTTATCGTTAGAATTGAAAATCATTTATGAACAGTATGAAATGATCTTATCAGCATATTTAGCTACAAAAAATTACTCATCTTTCCATTAAGTAATCATTATTAAGGCCTGACTATTTGTTTTATTCTAAATGACAATAGATAATGTAATGCTCTAATAACAAATTTCTATGCTGTGTTTTGAAGAGCATTCAAATCATTATCTCAGTTTACAAAATCAACTTGATTTTCCATTTCTCATCTATTTTAGATATTAATTAATGTTCAATTTTGTGGTAGTTTTACTATTGTCATGCTTAAAGCCCCATAACTCTCTACCGAGACCGAGGGTAAATCAACACTACAAAGCCTGGATTGTCACTGTTTAAGTTCCTTCCATTGAGTGAGAGCTTGACCCACGGTTTCTACCCTATTTTGTAGTGGCTGAGAGAAAACTCTAATGTTTTAGTATAGAGACTCTTACGTAAAAGGTATGACCTGTTTAGGCCTTTATCGTCTATTAAGGTTGCACCAAATGAAATGGTAGTCTTTATACCCGTGAGAATTGCTTAGCTAGAAGAAGGTTTAGGAGCAGAAATGTAATAAAAGCAATTGAGTCTCTTTAATGTGATTTTTTTTATTTTTTTGGATATTGTATATTTCTTTTTACTTATTTGGCGTATTTGGAAGGTTTGAGAACTGTGGAGTTGGATATATATCTATGTAGCTATAAAAGTCTTGTCTTCATGATCATGAATCAGCAAGCCTACACCTGCCAGATCTGAAAATCATAAAATTTGTTGTTTGTTAATGTCCTTGTAAATTAAATTTGCCAAAATGCTGAATCAAACTGGTACTAGGCCTATGCATAGATGCAACATGTTTTTCCATTTCCATGTCATATCCCTTTACTTAGGATTCAAAGCTTCACAGCAAGTTGAACTCATGTTATAAAGATGCATATCTCATTGTCTTGGTGGTTCAAATGTGGTCTTAGAATATCAAGCTTGAAGCTTTTAACCACCAGACTATCCTCTAAAAGCATTGGGTCCATTCTGCGTTTTTATTGGAACTGATGTTAAAGAAAAACTATTGTACAAAAATGTTGATTGGAGAGCATTAAAGAATGTTCTTTTAAGGTGGATTTTACATGTTTTAGGCATAAAAACTCCTAGACCTTGTTTGGCATTACTGCAAAATTGTTTTTTTGTTACTTTGCAATTGTTGTTTATTTTGCTAGTGATCTTTCATCAACAGTTTCAAGAACAGAGTGGCGGTGGCCGGCGAGGAATGAAAATTTTTTTGTTTGCGATTCGAGGCTGCTCTTCCCTACACACAACACACATATATGCGCTTTTTTATGGATTGAAAGTCGAACCCTTGATTTTGCATTGACTACTGTCTACTGGTAATAAATCTGTTAGCTGATATTATAGACCTATAATTGTTGTGGTATCCATGTCCATGTGAGTAGTTGGCAGTTTGATTTCTCCTATGAAGAGGAAGCCAAAAGCTTTAATTCTCGACTTCAACATTTAAGCACTGATACGACAGTATTATCCATAAACAACCCAACATAGTTTGTTGGGAATTATCACCTTAAATGAATCATCACTATCCAACTGCCTCCGGAGAAACTACTAAATTCAATGAAAATATTTGAAAATATTTTTACATTGACAAAAAAAAAATAAAACTAATTTTATCGTATTAACATAAAAAATAATTATAGGCTTAGTTATTTAAATTAAATTGACATTTTTACATTGATTGATGTTGACAATAAATTTAATTATACCTCAAATTTTAATTTTAAAATAATAAAAATAAAAAAATCTATTCCTTAAACATGTTAATTTGACTATTTTCCATTGTGAATAAAATTGATGGTTTCGGTTTCTTAACAAGTTTAAGATTGTATTGGTCTAAAATTGTATTGGACCATAGCTTTTTTAAATAGTTTTTATCAAAAAAAATTGAAACGTTTGATTGATAATATAGCATTTGGATGAACTAAGTAGATTAAGATAACCAATATTGTAGAAAATAGGAATTATGGATAGCGGCAGATGATGACTCATAAGAAGGAACTCAGTGATGGCCCACTTCCGTTAACTGTAGTAAAGTAGGAAGCCAAATTAGTTATTGGCAATTAAAGTGGGTGTCGGTTTATCAATTTAGCCATGGTTAGCTCTCCTACTTCCCAACCGCACGACTTTAATATATCCGCCTAGAATAGGCCCAAACCCATCTCTGCTTTTCTTTTGTAAATCCTCTGCTTATTTTCGATTCGAGATCTCATTCAAATTCCTGCTTCTACTTAGCTTCTTTAAATCTTGAGCTTGAAGGGTTTTGCTTTGTTTATCATTTGGTCAATTTGGTCTCTCTCATTTGATCTCCGAAATGAAGGTCTCTGTAGTTTCGCGAAGTGGCAGAGAGCTCATTAAAGGAGGACTTGAGCTTAATGATTCGGTAAACACTCTCTCTCTGTCTATGGGTTTTATGATTTGTCTATTTGTATGTTTGGTTTCCAAGAAAATGTGAAGGAAAGGAAAAGATGATTTTGTTTTTAAAATTCGTTATTTGTCAATAGAAGGGGGGAAAAGGAATATTTTTCAGGTACGGTTAAGTAAAAGACCAACTTTTCCCTAGATTATTGTGGGTTTCAATTGTGATTATTGTTTGTTTTTTTACTTATTTTGTAGGCTACAGTGGCTGATCTGCAGGAGGCAATTCATAAGCGAAGTAAGTGCTGCATGTACTTTTGACCGTGAGGCTTATTTCTCAATGACTGTAACTTCAATGTTAAGTTTGATTTGCAGGTTTAATTGTGCTTATGAGTTTATTTTTAGGTGGAAATTTTTTTTTTTTCGTTTTTCTGTTGAAATGGAACTCAAAATTTTATAAGATTGAAAATCCTACTCGAATTGTTAAATTGGCTAGAACTGTCTTGTGTTTGACTTTGATCTCATCACCTAGATATTCATTTCCTTTGTATTTGTCTGTAGATAAGCATGAAAGACTGTTTCATTTCTTTGGTCCTCTTAAATTCTTCCTTTGTTGCAATTCCACATCCCCTCCTTTATTTTACTTGGAAAGTGTGAATTTACTGGTTGAAATCCAATTTGGGTTGTTTCTTTCATTTGAAATTATTGATTTAATATATCGCGCATACTAAGAAGAAACTCACATGGCCTCATAATTGCTGTTAAAATATTTATTTCTATGGTGGGGTTTGGGTAGTGGGTTGTTATTAAGGAATGCATATCATTTTTCTTTCAATGACAATAGACCTAAAAAGAATAAGATCATCTCCTGAGTGCTGTAAACAGAATTAAAATTTCAGTGTCTCTGTTTCATAGTTCTGGACTTCTTGGTTCTTTGACCGAGTATATTCCTCAGTTTTCTTGAAACCTCATTCCCATCCAAAAGAAAAATTTGCAAATAAGGAGTTTCTAGGTATTTGTTGCACTTTGCAGCATCAGATGTGATTTTATTTTAATAAACTGATTCACTGATGAAATCAACAGCCAAAAAATTCTACCCTTCAAGACAGCGGCTGACTCTTCCTCTTCCACCGGGATCAAAGGAGAGGCCTGTAGTCCTTAATTACAAGAAGAGTCTCAAGGATTATTGTGATGGGAATTCATTAACTGTAGTTTTAAAGGACCTGGGTCCACAAGTTTCCTATCGCACCCTTTTTTTCTGGGAGTACTTGGGTCCTTTGGTCCTTTATCCTGTCTTTTACTTCTTTCCTGTTTACCAGTACTTTGGCTACAAGGGGGAACGCGTGATCCAACCAGTTCAGACATATGCTTTATTGTATTGGTGCTTCCACTACTTCAAACGCATCATGGAAACATTTTTTGTGCACCGATTTAGCCATGCAACTTCACCACTGTCCAATGTGTTCCGAAATTGTGCTTATTACTGGACATTTGGTTGCTATATTGCTTACTATGTGAACCACCCACTTTACACTCCTGTTAGCGATCTTCAATGGAAGATTGGATTTGGGTTTGGTTTGATTTGTCAAGTTGCAAACTTTTATTGCCACATCTTGCTAAAAAATCTTCGCAGTCCAGATGGGGGTGGAGGGTATCAAATCCCACGTGGATTTCTCTTTGATATTGTGACCTGTGCAAATTACACAACAGAGATCTATCAGTGGTTGGGTTTCAATATTGCAACACAGACTGTTGCAGGCTACATCTTTCTTGTGGTTGCTGCTATGATCATGACCAATTGGGCCCTTGCAAAGCACCGCCGATTGAAGAAGGTAATCTTCTGTTCTGTTTTGGTTAGTTTATATTATTTTATATTCTACACAAGAAGTTTAGAAATCATGACTTTGCTTTAAAAATCAGTCTCGTTGTTTTGAAGTTTGATATGTAAACCACGTGTAGCTTAGGACTCTATTCGTATATTAGACTGGTTGCTTATTTATGAGATTGTAAATTGAAGGTTGTCATGTGAATGTGATACACCTTCAGATACGAGCAAATGTACTTGCATATTGATGTTGATTTTTCCTTGCAGAGTTGATTCGTCAAGGTAAGGTGTTTACTAGTGACTGGACTTATTCAATCCTATATACAACTAATCTTTCTTTTTTTGTTTTTTCTTTTCCACCAACAATTGCATCGCCAATGCAATTATTGGGGAACAATGAGGATGCCAAAAGGCAAACGATCCATCTAGATAAGGTGGCAACAAATTAATATGAGTAGCATTCATCTATTATCTATTGTCTTGGACTTCTGAAAGTCTTGCTGTGCAATGCATATGTCATGCTTGAAACAATATGTCATTCCTATTTTTGTTGTTAGGTTTATAATCCTTGACTGCTATTTGTCTTCTGCAGCTATTTGATGGGAAGGATGGAAGACCTAAATATCCACGCCGATGGGTTATACTGCCCCCATTTCTATAGAAATGATAAGCTATTCCACCAATTATCTAATGCGTCGGTACTTGTTTTTCACAACACCAAGAATTCCATATTGTGGTTCATCCTTCTCAGATGTGAATTTGGAGGTCATACTTTCACCAAATTGCTTGAAAGATGTTAGTCTCTTTTATTTAGACTGGAAATTACTGGAAACTAGAGCGCAATCTTGTCAAACATTTGCTTTTAGTAAATCTTTCTTCAATCTGTTAAATTATTGGGGGAGTTCTATGAATCTTGTCAGTTTTAACTAATTAGTTGAATTGCAACTCCTTGATGATCCTTGTTATTTCTTGTTTTCCTTTGCTTCCATTTAGAATTTATCATGGATTTTACATAAAGCAATGGCCAGGACCTTCAACTTGAGAATTTGATTGATAAATTGATCGGATAGATGATTTCAATTGATTTTGCTTTGCTTAACTTTGCTACTTGTCCGCCAATTTGAGAGAAAGCATGAATTATATCTTTAATGACATTAAACACCTCATCTCCTGCCATCTATGGCTATGATGGTATGTTAGCTGTTGGTTGAGAGCTATAGTGCTAGCCAGTTAGGTGAGTGAAAAGCTTTGCTGAAGTGCTCAGGTTTTTGGTTTTTCCTTCTCTTAGTATTAGGGAGGAGAGATCTGAACCTGCTTCCTAAGGCTTTGGCTAATTATTAAAATTTAGTTGAGTCATTTCTTGTGATTTACTGTCTGAACAGGTTTGTTGTTAACTCCATTTAACAAAATATCAAGGATATGTTTCTTGAAGGATATAATTAAAATGGAATTCTTTGTTGTTATATGTCGTTTTCAAACGGTAATGGAATGTTATATACTTAAATATAATTCTAATATAACGTTTACATTTAGAAATAAATTTAAAGTGCTAGATTACATTCTTGATCAGAAAACCTCACATTCTTGTCAGAAAATCTCTCTCCCTGACCTGAAATGTGATGAACGAAAGTATTTATTTAAAAAAGGTCCAGTGGATATGATCATTTGATACACTGGAGGTGAAGAAGATAGGTTTCCTGATCTGTAACCAAAGTCATCATCATAGCCACTATACAGCATCTGTATAAGATGGAAGGCCAGTTGTGTTTTTCAACTTTCAACTGTTCAAAAATTTCAGATGGAAGGGCTCAACTGTTGAACTGCTCAACAACTGTTATAGGCTGGAAAATGGAAAAGAACAAAAAAAAGTTACTCTAGCTACTTTGTGTTGACACTTTCTGGAAAAAGTATTTGCTGTTTCAGATTATTTTTCCCACACAAAAGGCACCAATTTGAAAAAAATAAATAAAAGAGAGAGAAAATCCAAATCTTTCCTTATTTCCAAGGTAATGAAAAAAGTGGGTTGATTTTAGTTTTTCTTTCTTTTATTTATTTGTCCTTTGTTTCATTTCTTTATTTATTCAAGAAAGGAAAAGCTGTTGTAGCAAATGCACATGTGCAACTCCAACATGATCATTGATACGGTTAATTACTTATCTAATCAGAAAGTGAATCGAAAAATTGAAAAAAATTCATTTAAAATTTATGTATGGAAAAAAAAATTTTCAGCATAATTTAGAATTTGAATATATAATATTTTATTTTTTATTTGATTATATTATTAATGATATACTAATAATTAATACATATAATCAAAAAATAAAACTAAATTATTTAAACAGATTTTGATAATTGTAAATTATATGTAATCAATATAACAATTAATTATATTATAGTTCATGCAGTAGAGGACTCAACCCAAATAATTAGGGGACTAAAAAATAATTTTACTTAATTATAGAGTGTAAAACTAAAATTATAAAAATTTTTACACTGAAAATTAATTTAATTTAAAGAGCCACAACATTTCTTCAAACTTTCTGTATCCATCCCCCTAAATTCATATATAAATATTATAAAAATGTATAGTATGATTTACCATAGTTTATTAGCAACTATAACTAAGAAGTACAAATAGCTAAATTAATATACACAAATGATTCATTTTTGGTAACTTTGCTACATTTAGTAACACCCAAAATTCAATTTGCCTAAATAAAAATATATATTCATAAAATATTCAAAAAAAAACATTTAAAAATAAAAGGAGGGTAAAATGGTCAAGAGAACTGAAAAAATAAAAATGACTGGAAAACCGGAAGGAGCTGGATCCAACAGGCAACAATAACCTCAGATCATATTTAAAGTGAGCCCATGACGCGTTCTTCTCTGTAAGTTGTGCCCACACAAAATATTTATTAAAAAAACAAAAAAAATCCAACGGCCAACATTGCATCTTCCACTTCCATATAATGACCAGTTCAATCTCCCCACCAAAAGGAAGAAACTGATTTCGTATTTCTCACACTCGTTTCGGTGCTGTCTCTATCTCTCGCTTTCTCTGAAATAATATCTCTTCTCTTTAATTAAGGTTCTTTTTCTCTCTTTAATCTCTAATTAACCCTTTCATTAATCTCTCTCCTTTCTTTGCGTCTCTATCATTTGATTTGATACGTGTTAAGCTGCATTTTATCTTTCAGGAAAGTTTTGAAGTTTTTTTTTATTATTTTGTGTTTCACTATCTGATATTACTGTTTCATTTCTTGGACTTCTGTTTATTGATCATATTTTCCAAAGATTTTGGTGGCTTCGGATTCTCGTATGAGTTGATGGGATCTGGGCTCTGGGCTTGTGTGCTTCCATTGTTTGTTTAATCGGCGAATGTAAAATGGAAGTAGATTGTAAATTAATTATTATTAAATTGCTTGAACATTAAAAATGCGGGAAGAATTATTGAGTGTAAATTGCATTAGCAAATGAACTTTTCCTTGCATTGTTTCTCTTTAGTTTTTATTTTTCCAGGATAAAATTTCTAAGGTGGCTGAATTCATGAGATTTTGATTTGTATTCCTGTTGATTGGTTTTTTAAATTCGTTCTTGGTTGTGGGGTTTCGGTTTTTATTTTTAAATATAGTTATTATTATTATATTTTACGGGAAAGTTACAGTTTCCAACCAAAGCCCACGAAATAGAAACATCAAATCTTTAGTAATTTATTCAACATGAACAAGGCGGAATGTGTTATATTTCATTTATGAGATGATGGAGAGCTTGCTCTTACTTTTGATTAATCAATTCACTAAACAGATTTTATAGTTATAATGCCAACATGACTTGGATGAGCGTAAGGCCACAAAATGACATTCTGATCTTGTTGTAATTTATGAAAAGTTATGACATTTTTTAGACTGATCACAGTTTGTTTTTGCAGACTAGAAGATGGCCGATAACGAGGATATTCAGCCCCTTGTCTGTGACAATGGAACAGGAATGGTCAAGGTCAGCAATCGATTTTCTTCTATGCAATTGCTTATTGCCTGCTGATTAGTAGTATGTGGGTACCTGTTGTGTAACCTTTTGACATTCATATTTTAATTATGTATATTGTTTTTAGGCCGGGTTTGCTGGAGATGATGCTCCACGTGCTGTGTTTCCCAGCATTGTTGGTCGTCCTCGTCACACTGGTGTGATGGTTGGCATGGGCCAAAAAGATGCTTATGTTGGTGATGAGGCTCAATCCAAGAGAGGTATTTTGACTTTGAAATACCCAATTGAGCATGGTATTGTGAATAACTGGGATGACATGGAAAAGATCTGGCATCACACGTTCTACAATGAGCTTCGTGTTGCCCCAGAAGAGCACCCTGTACTTCTAACTGAGGCTCCTTTGAATCCCAAGGCTAATCGTGAGAAGATGACTCAAATCATGTTTGAGACCTTCAATACTCCTGCTATGTACGTGGCCATTCAGGCTGTTCTATCCTTGTATGCCAGTGGTCGAACAACTGGTAAGCAGTCGAAGGATTTTCTTGATTCAATTAGATATCAATTTGAAAAATGGAGCTGTTCAATCTGCAGATGATAATGTCTATGTTTATGACTTTGCGACTTGTTCCAAAGTGCTTGTTTTAGTAGAGTGTTTCCTGAATATTTGTCAGAAATTAGTGGTGGTGATTTACAGATTTGCTGTGCAGGTATTGTGTTGGACTCTGGTGATGGTGTCAGCCACACAGTCCCTATCTATGAGGGTTATGCCCTACCACATGCTATCCTTCGTCTTGACCTTGCTGGGCGTGACCTCACTGATCACTTGATGAAGATCCTCACAGAGCGTGGATATTCTTTCACCACCACAGCTGAACGGGAAATTGTGAGGGATATGAAGGAAAAACTGTCTTATATTGCTCTCGACTACGAGCAGGAGCTAGAGACCTCCAAAACCAGCTCATCAGTAGAGAAGAGCTATGAGTTGCCAGATGGGCAAGTTATCACCATTGGTGCTGAGCGATTCCGTTGCCCAGAGGTGCTCTATCAACCATCCATGATAGGAATGGAAGCTGCAGGCATCCACGAGACCACGTATAACTCCATCATGAAGTGCGACGTGGATATCAGAAAAGATTTGTATGGTAACATTGTCCTTAGTGGTGGCTCAACCATGTTCCCAGGAATTGCTGACAGAATGAGCAAAGAAATCTCTGCACTTGCCCCAAGCAGCATGAAAATCAAGGTGGTTGCACCACCGGAGAGGAAGTACAGTGTCTGGATTGGTGGGTCCATCTTAGCTTCCCTCAGCACCTTCCAGCAGGTTGGTTGAAATTCATTTATGGATATTAAAAAACCTTTCTTACTAGAGATTTACTTAGAACTTAGAAGTTGATTTCTCATTGTGGACTATGTTTGCTTGTTTCTTTGATTGCAGATGTGGATTGCAAAGGCAGAATATGACGAGTCTGGACCATCAATTGTGCATAGGAAGTGCTTCTAGTCCTAAGTGTTCCAAGAACAGGGTTTTATTTATTATTTTTTTTTTTTTTGGAGAAAGAGAAAAGGAAAAAAAAAGTACTGTTCTGTTTCTGGGAAAAAAGAGGGTAGCTCGCCCCCTTATTTTTATTCTAGCTTTGTTGCCCTTCTATGTTTATTATGATATTCGAGTGATGACTTTGAGAAGCTCAGGAAGTTATTGCCAAAATTATCCAATTCGTTCATTGTTACTTTTGAGTAACGAGGCCTTGCTTTCCATAGTCACTAGCATGCAATTCCGCCCTTTGTAAGGATATATATTTTTATTTCAAGATGTTATTATAAATGTACACAAAAATTATTATAAGCGAATTTTTCATAAAAAACTTGAAGTCTGAAACAAGAATATGATATTTTGAAATATTCAAAAATGGATTGAATATGAATTACACTATTGGTAATCAAAATACTTCTCAATGCAATCCTATGTATTCATTCTTAGAATAAATTCTCAAAGTAGTTTTAATTTTAACGGTTAGGATCAGTTTTAGAACAAGTTCTGTAAATAAATAAGTCGGTTCATATATTCACTTACCATTAAAGATTTAAAAAAATGAGGTGGACTAATAACATGATAAGTTTTGTAAGTAATAGATAATAAATTAATATATGAATTTGAACATTGAGTTGTTGTCTGTTTATATATTCACTTATCATTAGATTGTGACAGTGTACGTAATATTTGAATTGTTGAATGGTTAGATAAAATATATTGCAAAAGTTGTGAAAATTGAAAAAAAAAAAATTGCAATAGCAGCATGCAGTTGCAGATCTGAGAGGAAGAATCAATGGTGAGGGTGTGATAATGTTCAGATGTTGCATGCATGAGCAGGTCATCTATTTGACCCAAAATTATAAATTTCTTTTGGTTTAAATAAATTTAAAATTTCAGAGCTCATTTATACATAAATTTTAATTATATTTTATTTATAAATAAATTTTTTCGCATTTGATATATTGTAACTTAAAATATGTAATTCAATCAAATTTCACCAAATACTATTTATAATAAATTTTGAAAGGAACATTGATTTTTATTTTTTTATGGAGAAGAAACAGATGAGGTGGCCATGGTTTATGGAGAGGATGGTAGCTTTATCAATAAAATTTGGATCTGATTTAGAAATTTCACTTATTTTACTAAAATTTAATTTAATTATTTTTAATTTCATATAATTGAATACATAAAATAAAATTTTCATTTTAAACAAAAAAAAAAATAGATTCATAAAATTTATTGAATCTATTTGTTCTAAAATGGAGGATTAATATAGTCATATAATGATTGTAAAAGTAGATTGAGTTGGATCCAACAGGCAAAAAATAATAACTCAAAACACATTAATATATATAGCAAAGCTGAACTTAAGGAAAAATACCAAAAAAATTGGAAGAATGATTATGGCAGATGTATGATGACCACATGTTTCATTTTCTTGAGAAAAAAATATTTTTACTTTTCAATAACTTTTTAATATTTATACTTTAGGGAATTAATTTAGAAGTTAAGTTCAAATTACTTTAACATAAATTTAGGGAAAAATACAATATGATCCCTGTTGTTTTTGAAATACAATTAGTCATTTCTTATCTTTTTGAAATATATAAATTTTCTCTATGTTTTTCTTCTGTTCAATTTTTACATTATTCTCCGTTAAGTTAATAAGAAACTATAGAGATTAAAGGAGATATGCTAAAATATTATACCAAAAAAATTACTTACGGTCTCTATAGTTTAAAAAATACATTTAGTCCGTCTATGTGTTTTAAAAATAAAAAATGAGTATTTTCGTCATTTCATAAGATACTTAATGGAAAAAATACAAAAAATATGCTTATTTTTTAAAATTACAGACTAATTGTATTTCATAAATCAGAGGGATCATATTTTTTTTTTTAGTATCAAGGGAATGAAATTTGAACTTGGATCCATTGCTAGATCATACGTGCACTTATCACTGGGTTATGCCTTGGTATGCAAGAATTCATGCATTATGTTTCATTAGAAAAAATATCTTCAATTTTAATTTTGGTATAAGCACAATAAATTTCGCTATGAATATATTGTGTGGGCAAAACATTTTATAATTTATATAAAACACAATTTACACAAATACAAATTTTCAACAGTTAAATTAAACTAGATGCTTCAAAAAAAATATAAAATAAAATAAATTTTATTATTGAAATGCTGATATATTAATTTAAAATAAATAAATTAACAAAAATGTAAATAATAATAAATTAAAAAAAAAAAAAAGGCACTCCAGCCAGCCAGCAACTAAAAACAAAGCGCGAAGGGCGGATTTGAAGTTTGAAAAACAAGTAGTTCTAAAAAGCAAGCCCATGAAGCGTTCGTCTCTGTAAGTTGTGCCCACACAAAAATTTATAAAATTAATCCAACGGCTCTCATTGCATCTCGCGCTTCCACATAATGACTATTTCTATTTCCCTTTCAAAACGAACAACAAACACTCATTTCGCTGCTTTCTCTCTTTCAAATACTCTCTCTTCTCCTTAATTAACTTCTGCTTCTTCTCTTAAACCACTCTCGTTTTCCATTAATTTCTCTCTCTCTCTGTCTCCTTTCGATCTGTTAACCTGAGATTCGATCTCCTTCGAAAATTCTTGAGTTTGTTTTCCTTAATCTCTAATTAATACATTTTGTTTTGTTTAATAGAATTCGAAAATCTGATAGTCTTGACTTGTTTTGCAATTAGGAAGTAGAACATGGCTGATTCTGAGGATATTCAACCCCTTGTCTGTGACAATGGAACTGGAATGGTCAAGGTATAATTTATTGTGTTTGTATTTTATGGGGGTATAGTTCTCATTTTATTAACAAAAAAAAGCCTCTCTTAAGAACTAGGTTCGAACTTTCTGAAACAGGGCTGGTTATTGTGTTAACTTTGCATATTATTTCTGGGTACTGATTTCAATATTTGGTTTTAGGCTGGATTTGCTGGGGATGATGCTCCGCGAGCAGTGTTTCCCAGCATTGTTGGTCGCCCTCGTCACACTGGTGTGATGGTTGGCATGGGCCAAAAAGACGCTTATGTCGGTGATGAGGCTCAATCCAAGAGAGGTATTTTAACTTTGAAATACCCTATTGAACATGGTATTGTGAATAACTGGGATGACATGGAAAAGATCTGGCATCACACGTTCTACAATGAGCTCCGTGTTGCTCCAGAAGAGCACCCTGTACTTCTAACTGAGGCTCCTTTGAATCCCAAGGCTAATCGTGAGAAGATGACCCAAATTATGTTCGAGACCTTCAATACTCCTGCCATGTATGTGGCCATTCAGGCTGTTCTATCCTTGTATGCCAGTGGTCGTACAACTGGTAAGCAGTCAAAGGATTTTCTTGATTCAATTAGTTCAATTTGAAAAATGGAGCTATAGATTGTGAAGAAAATGTTTTTATGTCCCAGATTGTGTTAATTTTAATGTAAACTGGTACTTCTGAGTTGGTGCGCCAAGTTGATAGTTTATAAAGAGTGACCTCAAGAACATAACAAATGATCTTTTAATGGGCAGTCAAATTTAACCTATTTGAGAGAGCAATATGTTTAATGTTATCCTCTATTTAGTGTGATTATTCTGGAATTTGCTGTGAAGGTATCGTCTTGGACTCCGGTGATGGTGTCAGTCACACAGTGCCCATATACGAGGGGTATGCCCTCCCACACGCCATCCTTCGTCTCGACCTGGCTGGCCGTGACCTGACTGATCACTTAATGAAGATCCTCACAGAGCGTGGATATTCTTTCACCACCTCAGCTGAACGTGAAATTGTGAGGGATGTGAAGGAAAAACTGTCTTATATTGCTCTCGACTACGAGCAGGAGCTAGAGACCTCCAAAACCAGCTCATCAGTAGAGAAGAGCTATGAGTTGCCAGATGGGCAAGTTATCACCATTGGTGCTGAGCGATTCCGTTGCCCAGAGGTGCTCTATCAACCATCCATGATAGGAATGGAAGCTGCAGGCATCCACGAGACCACATATAACTCCATCATGAAGTGCGACGTGGATATCAGAAAAGATTTGTATGGTAACATTGTCCTTAGTGGTGGCTCAACCATGTTCCCAGGAATTGCTGACAGAATGAGCAAAGAAATCTCTGCACTTGCCCCAAGCAGCATGAAAATCAAGGTGGTTGCACCACCAGAGAGGAAGTACAGTGTCTGGATTGGCGGGTCCATTTTGGCATCTCTCAGCACTTTCCAGCAGGTTGGTCTATATTTACTAATGGTCTAAATTCACTTAAAAATGAAAAGGTTTGATTTTTCATTCTGAAAATTTGTATGCGTGTTTCTTGAATGCAGATGTGGATTGCAAAGGCAGAATATGATGAGTCTGGGCCATCAATTGTGCATAGGAAGTGCTTCTAAATATTTCAAGAATAGGGATTTTGGAGGAGAAGAGGGGAAAAAAAATACAGTTTTGTTTCTTGGAAAGAAGTGAGCAGCTTGTTGCCCTTTCCATTCTAGCTTTGTCGTCCTTCCATGTTTATGATGGTCTGGACTGTGGATTTGATGACTCTGAGAAGGCAAGGAGTTGATTGCCAAAATGGTCCAATTCTTTCATTATTATATTATTCTGAGATGTTTTTTTTTTTATTATTATTAAATTCATAAATATATATTGATATTAATTTTTGTTTAAGCTTTTTAGGATCTACCCTTTTTTTTCCTATTCAAGATCTGATAAAATTGCTGGGTTTGATTGTAATACTACTGGTTATTGATAACAAGAATTTCTATTCTCTTTTGATCTCTCTCTTTTGGGCCTTCTCTTCTCTACCGCTCGTTTCTTATAGTTTTCTGGCCGGCTATAGTATTCCTCGTCTGCCAAACGGCCCACGCCTTGCAAATAATTTATCATTTAAAAATTTTAATGACATTTTATTTTACCATATTCTTGTTCCTGTGTACATGTAACATTTTATTGAATTTGTGAATTTATTAGTAGAAATAATTCAATAAACACATTTATTTATTTGTTGCCAGTCATATTTATTTTAAACAATCTCAGTATTTATAAGACTTACTGAAATAATATTTTTACATCTTTATTTGAAAAAAATTATAAAATTTCAAAAAATAAATCAGAGAGATCCCCACTTTCTCTACTCTAATCATTTATTTTTCTTGCCACCCAGCTTTATTCCTAATTTCTCAAAAAAAAAAAAAAAGAAATTAAAATGACAAAACTTGCTAAGCCTTACTCCAATATCATTCTTTTTAATTCTTCTCTTTTTCTAAAAAATCTTCAAATACATACATACATACATTCGAAACCCATCCAAAGAAAAATTTTAATGAAATATGAACTAATACTTTGTAAAAATACTCTAATACCAATAAGTTTGGAAGAACCCATTGTCCTTTTTGTAGAAATATATTGTCACGGCCGGAGCCTTTAGTACGGGTGTGACGCCTAGACTTACAAAGTTTATAAGCAAAAATCATAATATAAGATCTGCCTTCTTCCATTTGGAACATTCAATGGAACCCTCAAACTACATTACAAAAATGGGTCGACTTTGTCAAATTGCCACTTTGTAAATCTCACATACAAACCCAATTTGCCAACTGATTAATTACCATTGTAATTCTAAAACATTAGGATTTAGTAGATTATGAATTCTATAAATAGAAAGATAATAAAAATAATAATCTTCATTGTACTTCTTTAGATATATGATTTTAAATCATAATTTGGGAAAGATAATAAAAAACAAAAAATTTCAAATGCAGGTGTAAAAAAATTTCCTCACAAACCTTAATATATCATGTACAATCAACAAGAAACTTGAAAAACAGAAAGAAAAGTGAAAAAGGAAGAGTTGTGAAAATTTTCATTCTAGAGGAAGAAATGATGATGTTGTAGTGTGATGCTCATTGTAAGAGAATGGATGATCTTCTTCCCCAAAAGTTTCACAGAAATTTTGTGCTTTCTGATCCATTTCCTCGGTGGAAAACTCATCATCTGAGGCCAAGAATTCATAATCTTTATTAGTAATATTAGAATTAGACCTAAAGGCCAAACCTTTAAAGCTTCCATCATGACGAGAAGGTGATTGATGACGAGAGAAGCTCCCAAAGCCTTGAATTCCTCTTGTTAATTTACGAGCTTTTCCTCTCTCTTCTTTTAGAAATTTATCATTTTCCAGAAGCTTTAGTATTCTTGCGGACAAGTTTCTAACGCTCAAACCCCAGTTGAATCTGAAACATACGTTAAATATATATATATAGCATGCAAATAAAAAATATAACTAATTAAGAAAATTAAACTTGTATATATATATATATATATATTTCTTTTTAGAAATTTTATCAATTTTCCAGAACTTTAGTAAATTCCTTGCGGGACAAGTTTCTAACGCTCTCAACCCAGTTGAACTGAACATACGTTAATATATATATAATGCATGGCATGCAAATAAAAAATATAAAACTAATTAAGAAAATTAAACTTGTATATATATATATATATATTATTAATAAACACCTTTCTCATCGACAATTGAAAGCTTCCCCATCTCTTAATGGTCTCTTAATTACCCTGAAATTCATCAGTAAAGCTCTTAAATATATATATATATATATATAAAATAAAACCAACCCTTTCTCATCGACAAATTGAAAGCTTCCCATCTCTTTAATGGTCTCTTTATTACCCTGAAATTCATCAGAAGCTCTTAAAGGACCATGGGTTAGAAGGTGTTCTAATACAAGTAAGCTCTTGTAAGACACTCTCCAGGTTTTCATATCAAACTTTGTCAACCTGAAAAGAAAACAAACAGAAAATAAATTATTTGAATCTTTGATTAATTAGTTCAAATCACTTCTTTTCATTAATGCAAATAAGTAAATAAACTACCAAATCCAAATCAAAATTAGCAATAAAAATAAAAGAAAAACCTCCTGTGTAAAATGTCTGCGATTCTATAATAATCATCAACTTCAAAAGCAGCCCTTGAAATTATGGCCATGGTACGTGTATCTGGTGCCAAAAAATCTTCATTCGTAGCTTCTTCTGTCAACCTTTATCATGGTAAATAAAAAGTTAATGAATGAAAATGAATTGAAATTATACATATAAACAAGAAATGAACTTACAATTGTGCTGGTGTAACATCTGTTAGTGCTAAGCGAGCAGTCTTGAATTTTTCTTTGAAGAAGAAAGAGGCTTGCTTCTTGAACTCATGCAAAATAGGGCTACCCATTTTGTTGTTTGTGTCTAAAAGCATTGACATGTTGTTTATTAATCTGCCAATACAGAATTGACGAAAGAAAGCTAGAATTATTGTTGGTTTTGTCTTGCAATTCTTATCTATTTACGCAAGAATTGCAACTGCTCCACTATATGGCAACGAACACCAACTACTCTATAAAAAGAATGGATTTGCTTATGTAATGAGAAAGTGAAAAGAATATTAATAAATGGAAGTTTCATGGAAATTTTGGTAATTAAGCATATATATCTTAAACTAATTAATTAAAGGGTCATGTCATTGAAGAATGTTTTTTTTTATGATTAAAATGTTTTAAACTAACTTTTATTGTGTACATTTTCAGCCAAAAAAGCGTTAAGATGCTTCTAAACAAATTCAGTTGATTTCCATAATTGACCATAAATTAGGTAATTAATCTGTCATAACCTAAATGAATAGTTGTGGGTCCAATCCCACTATTTGACCAAACCAATTGGTGTTTTCACTTAACTGAATAGTGGTCAAACTAATCATTTCTTACACAAATCATTTGCCAAACAACGGTGATTTAACTTCTTATTGTTAGAACTTAAGGTAAGCATTGTTTTAAGTTATAACTTACTTACAGTTAGTGTACGGGTCCATCATACATCGAGCCATAGTTAATTAAGACAAATGGGATAAATCAGAGTATCAATGTCTTTTCATTAGAAAAATAAAGGGATAGAATAACAATAAATAGAGACAAATTTTCAAAAAAAAAAACATAGTACCTTAGGAAAATGTTGATTGTTTAGGACATAGTGACATCATGTAGTGAATTACTTTAGGACATACCCATGTTAACATGACCTCTGGCTCATATGAACGAGCTGTATTACTTAACTACATGTGTCTTAACATAAGAAGCTAAGCTCTTAATTCAATGATCAATGTACTGAACATAGAAGAAAAAAAAATATGGCCACTCAAAATGTTAGCATAAATGAAACTAAAGGGTCTGCTACTGCTTGCCTTTTGAAGTCCTACGAGTTTAAATTTTTCTCCTTAATTACGCTGTCAAATGTGCTTTTACAATAAGGATGGAGTCCTCGGTGTCTTCCTCTGTCCAGTATTGCATGAGAACAAAAGAGGCCAATAAGAGTGCTACAGTTCCTGTAAATAAACTCTATTATAAATATTCATTTGCAAGCACTCCACAATCCCGTTCTATATCCCATGGACATGATTGCAAGCTCCCAAAGCATGTTGGGGATGCTTAATAGATTCACCTTGGATCCAGGAATTTCAGACCAGTTTACAGAAATTTCAAGCATAGGGATACCAAATCGTTTGCATAGATAAACCACCTCGACATCAAAGCACCATCTGCACAAACATCCAGTTCCTTCAAGTGTTAGTTCACATAACAAATTCAACTAACAAAACAAGTGTGTAAAGCAAGAAACATCTAAGGCCAAATGTAAGTGGCAAACTTGTGTCCTTTTTACTTGCAACTAAAAGGATTACTTATAAGTTGGCTGGCATTTTGCCTTTAGGATTTGTCCAAGGGCATACTTAAAATTCATTCAGACAGAAAAACTGATCCAAATGCAACTTTCTAGATCTTTTAAATTAATTGATAAAATTCCACCTCCAGACAAGCATTACTGATGCTCCTATTCAAATTAAAGATCTTTCCTTTCCCAAAAAATACGAGAGAAACCAAGATCATTCAAGTTAGGGAAGACTGTTGTTTACATCTATAGTTTGCTGATGTCAACCACTTGCATAAAGCAAATATTTCTTATATGATATAATCAAGCAAACACACCAAAGCATATTCTAATTTTTTTCATATTTTTGCATTGTGGCTCTTCCTCATGGACTATGACATGGCATTGGAAATGAGCCTGTCCACATATCAGGGTCATGGCACATAGGAGGAGTCATGTTTCTTAGTTTTCAATTCAATTTAAAGATTTGAGGACCTAAATATATGAGAGGGTGTGCTAATGAAGATTATACTTGCCTTTTCAGCCGGATGTTTGTAAAAAGACTCCTTGCTGCAGCTCGGGTAAACATCTTAAAACCACACTGTAACATGAAATATCAGGAAAAATATTGAAGAAAAAAAAAAAAGAAAAAGCGAGGATAAAGAATATTGCAAAGGAAATTGGGCATCTGTACTAACTAGATTAAAAAAAAAAACGTGCATGATATATATACTCCAGAAAATTACCTGTGTATCACGGATTCCAGGACCAGCAGATAAGAGAACCACAAGATGAAATCCCTTCATCAGAACATTGCGGTACCACTTTCTCTGGAACATAAAGTAAATTGGATCAACCATGAGAAACATAAGATGAAGTTGATAAGTAAAAGAAGGAAAAATGTATGAATATGAGAAGCCTAAGCTAGACTGAACTGTTGCCAAAGCCTTCTCCTCAAGATGAGCACGAGAACCAAATGCAGCAATTGGGACATCAGATATTCTAATATTTGAATCTGTGGCTTTTGAGTCTCCTAAGTTAAACTCCTTGGCAGCTGCATGAATCTGAGAGGAAAAAGATCAAGTAGCCAAAGGTAACCATGTTAACTTTTCCATGGAGTTTGAATCAGGATTTTCCCGCAGCATTATAACATGGTCTACACAGCCACAGCTATTACAAACCTGATCTTCAAGTTTCTCTAGGTCATTAACCTTTGTCGCCCCATCAGCATCCAGCATTAGAAGTAGTTGACCACGTGAATGAAGCATGCCCTGTTTTACAATGCTTTCACAAAGGTAAAGAACTTCAATGGTTGTCATCATGCAAATGACAGAAAATGGGTTCTTCAATTTAAACATATACATAATGAAGAAAAGAACTGTTTGGATTAGACTCACTTTTCGAATCGCTTCTCCCTTGCCATGATTTTTCCCAAGAAGGATAACCCTTACATTATCCACTGTGTATTTTTTCACAAAGCCAAAAGCTACTCTATTTGTTGCATCAGCACTTCCATCGTCCACAATCACCACCTGTTTGCGAACTCATCCATTCATAAATTTGGAGCTGAGAAAAATAAATGATATACACAATGCGCAAATCCTATATTGTTCACAAGTAGACACAATGGAATAGCAAACATTTCATATTAACGATTAAGTGCTCAGATCATCTACGTCATATGTAGGAAATACGAGTATTATCCATACATGTGTCTATGTAATTACATGCAACCACAGACATATGTGCATGCTTGAATTCCAGGCAGTCCTAATTAAATTGTTCCAAGCTCAATGTATACTTCTTAGATTTTGAGATGATGAAAGTACAGAACTAAGCTAGCATCTTGAAGGATTGGCGGGGAGAAGTCAGCACAAAAATCAAAATGCTTTCACCGAGAGGAAAATCTTTGCTAACAAAGATAAAGAATCAAATATACATGAGGCTTCTCAATTCTATGGTAAAGGAAAAACTAACAAACTGCCAGAAGATTCTAAGCAGCCCGAAAGCAGTAAACTGTTCAAGAAAGAAAGCTAATGACAGGATCAGTGTTTATCAATCACCAACATAAGCTTTCAGATGCCAATTAAAATCTTGCATGATCAAAGTGTATTCAGTAAAATACTTTCTTTGTATAGGACAGTAGTAGGTCAAATGCCCAACCATTAAGACAGTCAGGACTCAAAAAAATGGAATATTTGTTAAAGCTAAAGCTTGGACAATAATATCAAAAACCCATAGCTTTGTGGACAAGCATATGATTTTTTTTGGTTGCCAAATGCCACAATAGAAAAGCATAGAATTGGAAACCATATTCACCACTTCTCAAGTCAATTGCAGCATTTTCTTTTACACCATTGAAATACAAGCTGCTTGAAAGAACAAACAATCTTAATCTAAATTTCATGGTAGCCAATTACGTACGTAACTCAATCTTATGCTTGCAATTATACCTCAATCATTCATCATTATTCAGATGATCCAGGACATTAGAAGAATAAAATTATACCTCATAAGTAAATGACTTATCCTTTGCCGCACGTTGTTGAAGATAACTACAAAGTAAAGACATAAGAATCATTATGCTTTAATATTATCATTCTCTTTGCTCTGGTCATCAATCAAAATTATTAACTTTTAGAGGCAACGTGTGAAAAACTTGGCCCTTAATCTTCCAACCACCATTTTTTATCATGTAACGTGACAAAACAAGAAGCAGACAAACTATAAAATGCAAAACAGAATTTGAAAGAGTATTCTATTCAAAACTATAAAGTATAACACTCAAAATCCCCTCTTGCAGTCATAAAAATATTCACAAATGGAAAGAAAGTAAGGCTACAATAGACTAAAATTAATGTGCTTTAACCTACTTCATGGTTTCATCAAGTGCTCCAGGAAGCCTATGCTCTTCATTAAATGCAGGCATGATCAAAGATATATACTTCTCTGCTGGATCATGGATATGGGGGCAAGGGACCTGTAAGAATAACATGAAAAGGTCAGATTAATTAAAAGCAGCTTCGGTATCAGAAAATTATAAACGAATTAATTATAACAATTACTCTTGGTTTCTCTCTTATTCAATGATTCTTTTTTAAGTCAACATATTTCTCAAGTGCTGAAATTTCCATAACCAGACCCATTGGTGTTGAAGTTGAAATTGAAGTCGCACCATAACTCTCCGCTCAATGCGCTATGAAGGCATGGTAATAAGTACAAATATAAAATAAGACTAGAAATCTTTCATTTTAAGGTCTTACTCAATGCTGGTCCAAACAGGGGAGGACGGTTTAAAATCCAACTCTTATATAGCTATTCTCATCATTGGAGTATGGTGTCAATGGCATTTCAACATTGCACAAAGTGATAGTCAGAGCTACGAAAGCTGAGTAGACTGCACTTAACACAACAGTAATTTGATTCAATTGGATCGCATTTACACCCCAGAGAAGCTTTTTCAGATATTCATCAATTTTTAAGCTAAAAGCCAATCTAGACCATGACATTTTCACTTCAAGGAATCACAGAACTGAAGCAGAACAAACAATTTCTACGAAGATAATGGAGCTCATGTTCTTAATTTAGTGGCCTATACTAAAAGAGTCATCTAATACCAACCCTACTAAATAAAAACAGATTCCCAAGTCGAGTTGAGTAGTTTGCCAGTGAATAAAGACCAAGCAACAATAGATTTTCTTTCATTTCTCAGCAACCAGACAGAATCTTACAAACCCATTAACTATATAACTAGATCAAAACAACTTAAAATTTCAGAAACAAAAAATGTTAAATTATTATTTCCAATTACCTGTTTCAACGAATTCGGATCCTCAAAGATAGCAGGAGCATCAACATGCCTATCAAATTATCATTCAGAAAAAAGTATATTCAAAAGAAATAACCTCATAATAACCCAAAGGTTAAAAAAAAATGGCGATTAAATGAAGAAAAAATAACAATGAAAGAAACAATTTTTGTGAAAAGAAGAGCAAGTACCTGTTGTTGTGTCGTCGTTTGTAGGCTTCATAGAAGATTGCAGAGAATAAAACAGTGATAAGGGCTACCAAAAGCTCTGAAAATGTCAATAGAAACCCCATTTTCGTTTAGTTTGTGTTCCCTCTCTGCCTTCACAAATACACCAAACGATTAGTTTCAGTAAAAGTCCATAATTTTTCCGTGCAAAACAAGAGAAATATGTCCACCATTTCAGTATGATTGGGTTAAGAAAAGTGTGATTGGGTTAAGAAAAGGTTCGACGCAATTTCCACTAGTAGGGCCCGTTTAATTCAGTCGCTAGAGCAAAAGGTTCCTAACCTCGTTGTTTTGGGTCGTAGCCCAGCGGTATTTGTTTCTCTTCTCTGTCTTTGAGCTAGTTCATGAATTTCATTTTTTTCTTTAAGGATAATTAATTACTTAGTTACCAATTTTGGTCTAAATTACTACTATTTGATAAAATTACTTAAGGTTTAGTTCCATTAAATTATTTAATTTTTCATCCAAAAAAATTTTTTTTATTATTAAAATACTTGTGATATTTGACTTTATGATCATTCACGTTTAATACAACATTACTGTTTAGTTCCTCGTCTTTGTTATTAAATTATCTTTTAGTTTTTCACTTAACAAAAAAAAATTGACACTTTGGACGATAGGATTAAATAGTTCGACCAAGCTAAACTTTAAGGATGAATCAATGATTTTGCCTAGTAAAAATATGATTGTAATTTCAATCATAATTCAAGGACTAAATAGTTATTTACCTTTTTTTAAAAAAAAAATTAGCTGAAAGCCTTCTACTTTAATCAATTAACAGTATGATGAGATCAATAATTCTTGAATTTTAAAGGCAGGTGAAGTTTTGTAAAATAATTCAAAACATCACTTTCTTTGAGAAGATTTTGTGAAGATAAGAACTTGCAAAAGTCTCCATGGGTTGAAGACAAGAGAAAAGTATTTGAAATAAGAAGTTCTATGTGGGATTGTTTTCCACTTCATTGCATGTGCACTTCTGGGTTCATGTCTGTAGTGTTTCTTTCCTGAAATCGTTACTTCTCAGTTCTTTATTCTTATGTTCATAGGCCAATGCCTCAATTTGTCTCATCATGTAAGCTTCTTTTTTCTTTCTTTCTTTCTTTCTTTCTTTTGTTTTTTTTTTTTTTAGAAATCATAGTGTAATTAAGCATTTTTAGATTGATTAATTCTTTTAATTTACCTTCTCAATTCTTTCTATTTTCTTTCTTTTTTTTTTTTTTCTCAATTATTTGGTCTTCGCAGATAATTGCGGCAGGGGTCATAATTTTGACCGTTGGTTTGTTTTGTAGTAGTGGATAAGAAATTTGTCAAAATTAAGATGGTGAAAGTTTTGAAAGAGAAGGTTGAAAACGTTAGACAAATGTTAGAAATGATTCAGCTAAGGTACATTTAATTAATAATTTACAGCTATATTATTTACTTTTAACTGTTTTCAGCTTACATTTCATGGCTTTTAAGTCAAGATTCTTTTGCATATACTTTGTCATAAATTAATTAACATGACATAATTATGTTACTGAAATTTAAAAAATAATAAGCATATCTAGCTTATTCTAAGTTAATTCAAAAAAAAAAAAAAAAAAAAAATAAATTATTAACCTGAATAATTTGTTACTGGAACATTTAAAAAAATAATAAGCATATCTAAAAGCTTATTCTAAGTTAATTCAAAAAAAAAAAAAAAAAAAAAAAAAAAGATGGAAGTTAGTATAATTCCTTAGAGTCTATTAAATTAAAGTGATGGACAAGAAAGTTATCCGACGACAATAAAGAAATTTTCTTTCCGTCAATTTACCAGTAAAAAACGGAATGAAAATGAAAAATTCATATAGTCAATCATAACTAGTTCAAGATTAAAACTTAATTAGAAAAAAACAATATTGATCATATTGAAAAAATTGCTGCAAGTATTAGAGTTCGGGAAGAATTTTTGGGAAGAATTGCAACCGAGTATTGCTTATGAATCACCCATAAAAAGCACTTATTGTTCTTTCATTATACATTGCACCGTTAGCAATCCTTTATTCAAGTTTGTATGTAGGAGAAGGAAAGAAAGAGACTTCGATGATTCCTGTGAAAAAAGTGGTTGGAGATGTAGCCTTCTCAAGCCATGATTAAAGCCACAGAGGAGGAATGTGATAAAGAAAAAGATGTAATTTTCTTTTTTTTTTTTGCTTTTCCTTCACTTTTCTAGACCACAAAGCTTTTCTTAGGAGGAGAGTTGGCCCTTAACCCTACCATCATTTCTGCGTTGAATCATGCAATCCAGCCTCTATATTCCAGCCTCTAATATATATATATATATATATATATATATTATATATATAATGCAAAGATGTACATAATCCTGCTTGTATTCAAGGGTGAACCTACAGAGTTAAATGATTATATATATGCAAGATGTACATAATCCTGCTTGTATTCAAGGGTGAACCTACAGAGTTAAATGATTAACATTTAGCTTTAAAAAGAAGGAAGGAAGAGCAATTGTCTGCTCTCCCTCTAAGTTATGCGGACACTTTAAAAATTCAATGTACCCGCCTATGTCGAACACCGACATCCCTCAAATACTTTCGGACACGTGTCGAACATTTTAAAAAAATATCTCATTTTATTGAAATAAAAAGAGGAGAGAAAGAGCAATTACCTTATTTTTTATAACTCTCATTAATTATTAGTTATTATTTCAAATACTCATTTACCCTCTTAATTTATAATTTAAGCTCAATTTGCAAAAGAAAATTTGAATTTACCCAAATTCTCGTATGAATTTGGGTTCTATTGGGTAAAATTGAACATGAATTATAAATTTAAAGGATAAATTTGAGTCAAAAATTCGATTTTGTAGTTTTTTTGTTTATGAATAATAATAATAATAATTTTACGGAACAAATTGATCTTTATTCCAACATTTATTATTTAACCTTAACTACTACTAGAATTCTCTCTAAAAATTATGAAATTACAGATTCTCACAGCATTATAGAAGAACCACTGAAGTTACCAAGAAAATTTTTGGCATTATGTAGTATATAAAATGACAAATTGAGGTACGTTAGTTGTAATTTCTATACCAATTAAAAGATTGCAAGTGCAGTTTCAACACTTGGGTTCACAGGTCATAACTTAACGCAAGTTACAAGAAAACAGTATTGGAGTGAGGAAATTTTTGGACCAACTACGCAGCCCATATTCAAGTTCTGATACAAACATCAAACAGAGATATAAACATTTTTTTTTCAAATTGATAAAACATAAATTTCATAAAATTTTAATTTTATATTTCGTGAAATTGATAAAATTTCATATTTTTATTATAAAATAAAATTTATCAGTTTAAAAGAGATTTTTAAAATAAAATTAAATAGTTTAAATTTCATAGTATTGCATAGCGATTAAATTTTACGAGTATTCTTGAAGATACATTTAATGTTATTGCATAGCGCATACCTCTTTTTGCAGAATTACCAGTAAGCAATGTCGCTGCATATCAGAGAGTCAGAAACAGTAGCAAACTAGCAACAATGGAAGAAAAAATGCAGAGAGGAATACAAATGGTTATCTCTGAAATTAATAAATTCCAAATATTATTCATATTAAAATACAATTTTCTTTTTAAATTAGAAAAGAAAATGAACCATAGATGCACAAGATCTCAAACAAATAAACCAATACCCCCACCAATCCATCAGTAGAAAAAATATATATATTTAACAAGAAAAAGTAAAATCAAACCAAAAGAAATTAAAAATCCTAAGAGAAAGATGGTGTTAATTAAAAGAAAGATTAAAAAAAAAAAATGATTAGCTAGTGAGCCATAGCAGCAACAGGAGCAGCTTGATAGTTGATGCTTCTTTGATGAGGCATAGCAAGCATGGCAGTGTGATCCAAGAAATCATTAAGAGAAACAACAGATTGCAAGATTGTTCTTAAATCATCTGCACAAGAAAAACCCATATTTCCTATTCTTCTTACTGCATAAACATAAAAAGTGATGCAACCTTTTCTAAATTTAAATCTTGCCATCTCATACCCATTTAAGCCTCTAATGAGTTTCTTGTTCACTTCTCCAAGAGGAATTTCTGGCGGCCAAATTCTATCAATAGCCAATTTCAAAGACTCAGATTCAAAAACAAAAACTAAAATCTTGGATTTCTTGGTACCAAGACCAAGAGTAAGTGTATGCCAAGCTTGATGGGCCAAAATAGTGAAATTTGTAGGCAAGAAAGCTGTCGTTGAAGGAAAAGGGATTTTGCTGTTACTATTTTTATTTGTTGGTGGATAAGAAAGAACTTTTAGAAGTTCAAGTGGTCTTGCTCGCCGGATAGTGAAAGATTTTACTATAAATTGCCCACCAAAACGAAGACCTTTCACTTCTGAGCTTGGCTTGAAAGAAAAATCTGATGTGGGTTTCGTTGTTTGGTCATTTGGGTGTTTTTGTTTTTGCTTCTTCTTCTTCTTCTCCTTCTCTTCCATTGGTTTTTCTGGACTCTCTTGTGAGATTTTTTTTATGGCTTGGTGGGTGTATTTTGGTGTATGTGATATCCAACCAATCCAAGGCTTTTGATGATGTATTATATATGTAGGGTTTTTTTTTTAATTTTTTAATTTATATTATTTTTATTTTTATTTTTTTTAACAACTGGCTTTTCTTTTTGTGATTGAGATGCTAGAGTCAAAAGAAGGGGAAAACACTTTTCAAAACTTGATTTTCTTTGTTGGAAGTTATTTTCAATGTTTGATATGTATATAAGTTATTTTAATAGATGATGATTGATGAAGAGGTTAAACCAATTCATACAACCTTGATTATTTTCATATTTTTTAGGTTGGTATTTATTTTAATCCTAAAGTGTGTCATTATATTAATTTATTGATTAGTTTTAAAAAAATGGGCTTTGAGAGAGTAGCAAGTTGGAGTTCTTGAGTACCCTCATATTTCGATGAGGTATGCAACTTTTTCTTAGCTTTTCTGGTGTTTGCACCTTTAAACATGATTCCAATGGAGATATGAACCCTTGCCTACCCTTAGATAGAAGGGGGGAAAAAAAAAAATTCAAGTTGTCAAAACTTATCCCGTTCAAACTTATTCAATAAATTTAAGGAGTCGAGTTTAATCCTAAACCTGTTTACTTTTTTAAGCTTGAGTATATCAATAAGTCGAGCTCAAACTTGGTAGGATTCAGCTTTTCTCGACTCATTTATAGTCTAATTAATGCTTAATTTCTCTTGTCTGATACAAATTTTATAAGCAAAATTTCATATTTATTAATGAGCCGGTCTAAATTTAAAAGATATAAAAATTTTGAAAGATTCGCTTACTTAATCTATAATTTTCTTTATAAATTGAGGTATGTGGATTAATCCAAAACTAAAAATGATGTACTAATTTAATCTTTTTAATTTAAGATTCATATTGAAAATAGAAATTCATAATAAATTAATTATTTTATTTTTATTGTAATGCACAATGAAGACACTCATTACAAATTTTAGTAATTAGTAGGCTCCAATAAACCAAAATTTCCATAACTCATTTTTCATTTGAGAATTGTCAACAAAATCTCTCATAAAATCTGAAGCCAAAAAGGCTAATTTCTTTTCTTTTTACAGATTTCAAAAGCATAACATGTGCCTCTAAAGGATCTTGGGCTTCCAAATGATAATTACCTCCTGAAATAAGCATATACATGCTCATTAAAAGAGGATTTGGACCACATTATTGTAGCCCTATAGTAGAAAAAAATTAACCCTAATCAAGAAGATTTTGTTTCCCACAGTTAATCATAATTACACCCATTAGGTTAAATCCTTTTGTTCTATTGCTAACAGTAAATCTACATACTAATGCAAAATTTAGTATGTGCCTTGATTAAACTAAAGAGGACAAAATATGGCTATTTGCAATAAGCTAAAAGGCATTTATTTTGCTTATCTAAACAAAAATTTCCAAATCACAAACATTTAAAAATGGACTCATTACTAATTGTTGGTGGAAGTTGTTTAGAAGAAGAAACTTAATGATTATATTTTATTTTTGAAAATAAAAAATAAAGAAAGAAAGAAATGGTTACCTTTGATTCTTTGGCAATAATTTTTTAAATAGTTGTAAATGTTATTTTTATATATTCGATAACATAATATTTAAATTAATTTTTAAATATTAAGATATCATTTTATAAAAAATTAACTCATATAACATAACTTTTAGTGTTTTATGAAAAGTTATTCAAGCAGCTAAACGTTATTAAAATAACTAATTACTGTTAAAATAGCTAATTTTGCTTTGTATTGTATTTGTGTTGTATTTAGAGAGAGAGAGAGAGAGAGAGATAAGGTTGGCTTAGCTCATTTTGACAATCCATAAGTCCTTCTCAGTCACTAAAGTTGTTTCCTTCCAAAGGCACCAATGCCTTTAATCATATCATGAGAAAAGGAAGTCCTTAGGTGATGAGAGGAGACCAACTAAAGTCTAAAAGCAATAACTCTTCTTGCACAAGGGGCCACCATGGGCTTAACATAAAAGCCCTGCCTGGTTTCATGTTCTTTTTCAAAAATATTTTGAATATTGTGGACCCAAACTCTAAAATCGGGTGGTTTAATAATAAAAATTACTATGATTTGTTGCAATTTTATTTAAATTTGAATTTCTTTTGACAACTATATCCTAAATTGCAACTTTAAAAGTAATTATACCGCAAACTCAATAAGGGTTAGGGTACTTAATTAAAAAACAATATTAATGCAAACCCATGAATGAATTAGAATTAATTTAAATAAAACTCAACATCGTTCTTTAGATTTCATCTGATCGTTTAGGTTTCACCTCCGCGATTTAATATGATATTCGAATAGCATCTATTAGAGATGTGTCTGTGAACCAAATTCTAAAAACTGTTAATATGGTTTTTTTGATTATCATTACTTTACGACCAAAACTCCATCTTAAGTTCAATTTGACAAAGAGCATAAAGGATTAATTAATTAATGCATGACACGATTGTGTTCTATCAACTTCATATACCAGAATTGATAGATGAGTTGGTTGCTAGGTAGAGGATCCCAACAAAATTAGCTCATTGATAATTAAGCATGGGTTTTACATCTAATAACACGATTGTGTTCTATCAACTTCATATACCAGAATTGATAGATGAGAGTTGGTTGCTAGGTAGAGGAATCTCCCAACAAAATTAGCTCATTGATAATTAAGCATGGTTTTTACATTCTATATATATATATATATATATTATAATATTAGTATATATATATAATATATATATATATATCATTATCTTCCTTAATTGACATCAAAACTACCAAGTAAATGATCCTTATGTCAATGTCATATATATATCTTCTTAATTGACATCAAAACTACCAGTAATGACCTTTATGTCAATGTCAAAATGGTAACTGCAAAATCACAACACAAAATCTCTATTATATATCGAGTATATTCAGCAAAATTAATTATTTTAGTAGTCGTTAACTATTTTAGTAACATTTAGCTGTCAGTTATTCGATTAATTTTTTATGAAATGTCAAAATTTAAGCATTACATTAGTTAACATTTTATAAAACGCTACATTAATTTCTAAAACTTAATTTAAATGTTATGTTACCGAACACTATAAAGGTAAAAAAACTATTCCGAGCACAGTCCTACTCTCAAAACATTTCAAGTAAGAGGTATGCTAAATTAGTCTAACTTGGGTCTAACACAATTTCACTGTAGCAGAACAAAATGTTCATATATAGTGCTCTAATGCGGTGGATTTTGCCTGCAATATACACGGAGGCATTTTAAACATTTTGACCCGCTACAGTAAAAGTTGTATCAAACTCAAATTGGACCAAATATATTTATCCTTTAAAATGAATTTTATAAAATGTTTAAAAATAACTAAATAAATAAACAGAAGCATGTCAACTTTTTTGCATATTTTTTAAGCATTGCCCAAAAAGCAGAAGGTTAATGCTTAATGGGCTCCATACGTCGTTTATAAAGACAAGGAACAATGAGTAATAATGCATTATTGATTTCAAAAAAGAAAGAAAGAAGCTCTATAAGAACGTTCCTCCTGGTATTGGAGAAATTTCGCTTATAGCCTCCATTTCTTTTGTAAAATATTTTTAAAAATACTTATAATGGTTAAGCTATTAGTTATTGAAAATAATTTTCTAATTAAATAAAAAATAAGTCATTTTAAAGAAAAATAGCTTCCTATTTCTACGAGCGAAAATTATTTTTTAAGTTTTAACAAATTTATTATTAAAAAAGTTATATATCCTTACCAATTTATCCATTGACCATTGCTATTAATCAATACCGGTTATATGCGAAAATTAGATTTTTATCATTTTTATATTTAGTATTAAAACTTTAAAACTATGAAATTTTTATAATTTTAAACATTTTATAGTTCTGTAAATTAAATTTTCATATTTTTTAATTAATTTTTAATATTTCAGTAAAAATAGAAAATGAGTTATTTCAAAAATATTTTTCAAAAGTAAATTATTCTCTAAAAATAAAAAGAACATTAATTCTACTAAAAACATTAGTTGAAACTAATTTTCTAATTTTTTTTTTTTTGTATTCAAATATTATTTTTGGATATCTGCTTCAATAATTAAATCCTAATTGACAAAAAAAAAAAAGAATAATAAACTCAAATATAATTCATTTATTATTATCAAAAAGTGATTTGCATTCTTATAATATATATATATAAACAAAGAGCATAGCATAGTAAAATTAACAGCAGAGCTTTCCTTGTTGATTTTGGGGGTGACAAAGAATGTTGAAAATGATAAAGGGAAAGAAAGATTACATGAAACACAATTAGTGCAAACATAATTAGTTAATTTACCTTAATGATTCAAATAATTGCACTACGACAAAACAGGTTGGCTGTCGTTCTCTACAGCATCGTATTATCTGAATCATTACAACAACTTAATTAGTTGGCTCTTAAATAACCTCCAATTCAAATTCATTTCCTTACTATATCAAATTAGATTGTAATTTTAGCTAAATTTAAAATAAAAAATTGATAAAATTCAAAATATTTTTATTAACTATTGGGGAGCTTCATTTGATTTGATTTAAGATTAAAGATATTAACTTTTAGCATTTTAATTATAATTTTAAACCGTGGATTATTGAACTTAAAATATTAATTCAACAGTTAAATTTATATTTATCAAACACTAATAGAGATTGGGAGTTTCATGCCAAATATTTAAAGAATTTTAGTTAATTTAGATAATTTTTCAAGAAGCTTGAACATATTTGAATTTTCTATATGTTCAAGTTAAAAACAGTACATCAACGACGATTTGTTAATTTTAAAATTTGAATTTTAATATCACTTATAAATCGAGTCGTATTCACTTTCTTGCATGATAAATCAAGAAATTTTATTAGCTCAAATAAAAATTTAACATGTCCACCAGAAGTTTATAATTATTTGTTTTTTGTAAATTTGCTATATCTATGGGCGTTGTTAAGATGCTTGAATGTTGGTTCAGATAAATTTAATACGATGTCGTTTCCGAAAGAGCTTAGGAGAACTATGTAAATCACGTCTTTACCCTTTAGTATGAAAATTGACCCATTGAATGGGAGAGGCCAGTGGGCTTGGGTTACGAACATGAGAAGATAATCCATCTCTATTCTTCAGTTTCTCATTTACTTTTTCTCCACTTCTATATGTCATTTAACGTTTTTTCTTTTCGATATTCGGATCTTGGGACCGATTAAATCCGGCTCGAGACTTAATTATAATTAAAAGACTTTATAATCTGACGAAATTAAATTAAAGAAAATTTTAATCTATTTTTCAAAATACAAAGATTTATTAATTGTATTTCTAAATCAGAGAGACATAACGTAATTTTTCCATTACAAATAGCGTTATTAGAAGGTCATAAGTGCGGTTAGAGATTTTTTTTTTTTTTTAGCAAGCGATTAGAGATTGTTGTTTTAGACTTTTTAGTCAAAAAAAATGGGAATTGAATTCTATGTGTAGGCCCACCACCAGATCTGAACGGGACGATGAACAATTACAATATGAATAATAAGGTAATGAATCTGAGCTTTAATGTCTCTTGCTTTAGCTTTCTATAAATAAACGCAAACGCAGACGCGTTAAGGGAAATTAGTGGAATTTCAATACATTATGAGGTGACAATTATACCCTTTTGTTGTGTATAAACCCTGCACATTTCAATTACAATTACAAGTAACTTCACAGCTTGATTAAATGCATAAATTACTGATAACAAAAAGAATCAACAGATCACGAATAAAATTACATGGCTGCCTGCCTTGTACACTCAAAGGTATTTACATCCTCCATGACCTGCATGCACATGGAAGAAAAAATTAATTAAGGAAACAGAAACCCATCGATATATAATTGACAAATAAAATTAAAAATTTCATGCTCTATATCTGCAAAATCAATATGTAGTATGCAATTTGACTTACTTGGATCAGAAGTGGTGACTTCACCGGTCTTAGAGAAATCACAGTTGAAATCATTCCGGCCATGTGTTTGATAGAAGGAGTTCATTACAAATGATGCGTGTGATCTTACATTATTTGGATCAAAGCACGCACCACCAGCTTGGATAGGCTTGCAATCTACACCTTGGCTGCACACATAGTCGATGTTTCCTTGTAATTGTTGCTCAGTAGCTTCTGCTTTCGGTACACACCATTTCTTGCCTCCTGTTGTTGGTGTTGGTTGTGGTACTGTTGGATTTTTCTAAGAAAGAAAATATTTAAGGATCAGTATAATTACATACATTACATATTACATATGACATAACAATAACTGTGTTGTTTGTTTGGTAAAATCAGTTCTTCTAATAGTTATTATTCTGCTTTCGGTACACACCATTTCTTGCCTCCTGTTGTTGGTGTTGGTTGTGGTACTGTTGGATTTTTCTAAGAAAGAAAATATTTAAGGATCAGTATAATTACATACATTACATATTACATATGACATAACAATAACTGTGTTGTTTGTTTGGTAAAATCAGTTCTTCTAATAGTTATTATGGTTTTATGAGCAAGGTTTCATTATCAGCTCTCTCAAATTCTCAATGCTACCCCACTAAATATTATAGATAGTAGAAATAGTACAAATCGTTACTTTCTATTAGCTTTTAATTGTTTTAGCAGCCGGTAAATGTTTTATTAATATTTCATTAAAGGTTAAAAGAGAATTAATCATGATCAACTCTCTCAACTAAAACCTCCTACAAATGCTAGACTACCATATAACAGAGTTAGTATAAATACCAGCATTTGGTTAAAACACTAAACCCTACAAGAAAAGTTATTCAACCGGAGAATTGATAAATTTTCATCTTAAATAACTCGTACCTGCGGATTGCGCAAAATCCCAACATTATAAACAGGGCTAAAATCAGGTCTAAACAAGCCCCAATTCCTCTCAGCAGTAGTTCCAGGTTTCAAATTCTCATTAAACAATGCGAAAATGTAAGTCTGAAACTTCCTATTAGGCATCAAAGGTGTCCCTTTCCCTGAAGTAACATGCTTAATCAAATTCCCATTAAACGACACTGCATTCTCCACTGTGCAAGCCGGTTGATCCGGATCACCCATCGAAGGCCACCCTGTCTCCGCAACCAGGATTTCCACGTCGGCATATCCCATTGCCTTAATCGCCGAGTAAACCGCATCCATCATCGCATCAAACATGTTCGTGTAAGTAATGCCAGTTGCTTTATCGTGAATTCCACGGTTAGGTTGGAAAAGAATGTATTTAGCCACTTTTGGTGCATAACTGAAATACGGGTACGGGTTTACCATAAGAGGCGATTTGGTTTCTCGTAAAAAGGATAGCATAGGTGCAAATATTGGTTTTTGGTAACCGGGTCGGATCCGGGCTGAACTCGGTGGTACCGAATTATGAAGAATTCCTAACGTGTGTGGTGTTGAAACTTTAATAGTGTTTATTTTTTCAAGAACTAACGCATGGTGTATTGCTTTCATGCAAGGGACAAGATGGGCAATCCAATCTTGAACACCAGACATCAAGATTTCATTACCAATGGCTATAAGGTTGATTTTTGTCTGTGGATAATAAGGTTTTATGTTGTTGGCTACCCATCGGCGAGCTGCGCGTGCGTTGGATAGAGAAGGAATGTCTCCGTTGCCGACAGTGACGGTGACAGTGATGTTTGTGTTGGCAAATGCTTTAAGAATTTCTGGATTTGTATCAAAGATTTTTATGCTGTCTATAATGGTTTCTGTTTTTAAAAAGTTGGCTACTTGGGCTGGAGGTGGGAGGTTGTTGGCTAAAGTTCCATAGTTGACACCAAGGGCGGCGGAGGTGGTGAAGAGGTGGAGGAAGGTGGAGATGAGGAGGAGGAAAGTGGTTGTGACGGTGGTCATGGTTGGACGGATAATTGGAAATGAAAGAGAGAGGCGGCGAAGTGGATATATATAAGGAGTTAAATTAGACAAAGGTAATATTATAAATTAATTAACTTGATAGAGCAAACTAATTATAACAAGAAAAAGAGAAACAATAAAATAAAAGATTTGAATGAGCTAAAAATTACAAGTTGAAAAATTGAATAAAAAAAAAAACCAGCTGTTTTGCTTTGGCTTTTGCTTAGCCACAGAAAAAAGTAAAAAGAATAATAAAAAAACAGATGCTTCGATTCTTGACCTTTTATTTCATGGCATTTTGGAATTGTTTTGTTTTGTTTTTTTTTTTTTTTTGAATAGTTCAAATTTGTTCTAAATCTTTTAGGTTAGTTTGGAATCTAATCTAAAATAATACTATCATAAAATTCAAAGTTATTTATTTATTTTTTTAAAAAAAACTTAATTTTCTCTTATTAGAAACTTTTGATTTATTTTTTTAAACTTTAAAGGTTTTTATTTTTATTTTATTAGAAAATTATAATTTATTTTTAATAACTTCATGTGTTAGAAAATTTAAAAGATGTTTTTTAAATAAATTATTTTTCGGAATTTCATATACTCGTCTCTACCAGACGTGATTATTAAATTTATTAAGAAAATGCATCATTTTTTTAAAAAATATTATATGGGATAATCTACATTGATTAAAAAACAATTAAGACGTGAGATTACAATTTAAATATTCCAACGAAAAATATTTTCCCATTTGTCAAAAAGGTGTCGTTTTTACTTATTCTTGGCGTGTACAGGATCAACACGGAACGGCGGTGGAAGCTGCGGTTGCTGTTCAATGATAAATGATAAATGATAAATAACGTCACTGAAGGTCATACTTGGCGGTTAGGAATTGTCGTTTTAGACCTTTTAGTCAAAAATGGGAAAATGAATTCTATTGGCAGCCCACCACCCGATCTGAACGCGACAAGGCACAGTTACAATATGAATAATATTATAGTAATGAATCTGAGTTTTAATATCTTTTCTTTAGCTTTCTATAAATAAACGCGAAACGCCGACACGGTAAGGCAAGTTAGTGGAATTTTGACGGTACAACCTCAAACGCGTCTCACTTTTTTTATGTTTTTTTTTTTTTTTTTTAAATTTGGCTTCCATAATTTTAAAAGATTTATAATTAGGATTTGACTAATTTACTACTAGTCAGCTCGAGTGAAAAGAAGTGCATACAACATAAAATATATATTCACATGACCTGTTAAAATCTAACATGTAAGAACATTAAACTTAGGGAGGGGATATTGTATTAATTAAGATGCAGATTGCTTTGAAACTTGTCTTTATTTTTAAACCTCAAACTAATAAAAAAAATAACATTTATTTTTCATTTACTTTTATAATAATAAAACCAAATCGAATCTATCAATAATCAAGACGTACATTTTCCATGTTAGAACAGAGTATTCTATTTCTACATGTGATCCCCAGCATTTTCCATGTGCAGCATTTTGTTAACTGAACAATATGATTCTTTAATGCAAATATGTTTGAAATAAAACAAAGGAGTCTCTGCTTAGCTTTGCACACCAATATATAAGCTTTGCACACCAAAAAATAATATATATAGTATAAATATATATATATATATATATTATATATAATATATATAATAATAAGTGCTATACGACATAAAAAGAAAAATATAGAATCCTGACAATAAATAAGATTTGAATCTCTTTCCAAAAAAAAAAATCCTCTACTTAATTAACTGTAAATGGGTGTTGGTGGATTTTAAATTAAGTATATATAATAAGTGCATATACGACATAAAAGAAAATATAGAATCTGACAATAAATATAGATTTGAATCTCTTCTCCAATAAAAAAAAATCTCTACTTAATTAACTGTAAATGGGTGTTGGTGGATTTAATTTAAGTCAGCTTAATACGGCCAAATATAATACACTTAATTAAATGAGTTGAAATGAATTTACGATTTAATTTACTATCATATTCATTTAAATTCGTATCATAAATGAATTCATTCGTCAAGCTCAATCCTAATATATTAATTTTATGTGTTTGGCCAATTATGTTGACATGTTATTCTGCATATAGTTGACTAGAATTAACTAAATTAATGTTGGTCATGTCAGCTACAAAACAATCTCTAAATCACCATATATGTATATATATATATACATATAGCTGAATAAACAACATCTAACATTGCGTCGTACATGATTGATATGACGAGAATAATTAATTAGTTAATTAATTAAATTTTTAGACGGGCTCATCAAGTTTGCATGTTTTATGATGGAGCCCAAAGATCAAGCCCAGCCCGATCTAGCCCAATGTTTATGAAATACTGAGCCCAACTCTGACACAAATGGGAAAATATATATTTTGCTCCTGAGATTTTACAAAATTAGTTAAGTCATCTTTGCATTTTTGTATATTTCTTAAGATTTGGTTCCGTTACGTTAAATAGTCCTTCTATCTGAAATCAACTAGTTTTTCCGTCCGTTCAATGAGACTAAAAATAACAGAAATGAGAGAGAAATTTTTTAAAATGACAAAAGGTACTCTTAATAAAATTCAAAATGGCCCATATTCAAGAAACCATTTCACACCCATCATCACCGACAACCTCAAAAGCCCGCAACGACTGCTATCAACAAAAGAGACAATCGCCGTTAAATCTCTCTGTACAATACCATATGCCTTCAGGCTTCATCTTCTCTCTTACCGTTAATAAACCAAGCAAGATTAACAAATTTAGGCTTGTAATTATCAAAGAAATCCAAGAAAATCAATTAATATTAATTCAATATGAAACTTCATCTGAAATCTAATAACCCAAACAGAAAACCCCACTTCCCGAATCTAATATTGCTATAAAAGATGATCAATTTCAGCCACATCTGCTTCCTATATTCTTCACCCTTGGCCCCCAACTTCAACAATCACTAAACAAAACGTCAAGCAAATGGAAGCTCACACTCCAGCTTCAAGATCTGCTCAACCTATGTGTGTGTGTGTGTGTGTGTGTGTGTGTGTGTGTGTATATATATATAAGGTAAATTATGTTGGGTGTTTAACAAATTTGTTTAAAGTCATGTTTTGGGTTTTATGAATTTGATTTTTCTTGAAGAAAAGAAATGGAGATTATGGCAATTAATTAATGGTGCGAGAGATTTTCTGGTATGGGGCTTAACAGAAATGGGTTTACAAGGTGTACTTTAAAACGTACGTGCGTAGTTGCAGAGGTGGAGGTCTAGAGAAACGAAGGAGAAAGGTGCGCTCTAATATTTTTGTTTTATTAAAGGGTATTTTAGTCCATTACGAGACATTTAACGGTAAAATTGTTAAACTTAGAAAGAACCAAATGTCAAATACCTCATAAACAAAAATGAGAAGACAAATTAATTAATTTTGTAAAACTTTGGAAATAAAGTAATTATTTTTCTCATAAAATTTTTGTGCTGGAACAGGCCTGACCCGCCCAATCGTGTAATAGAAAATGTTAAGAGAGTACGCAACGTACATTATATAACTCAAAATTAGAAATTCACATTTGGTTTGCTAATCCGATCAATTTGATTCAGTAAATAATATTCGATTAATGGTTTCAGTTAAAATTGATCAGATCAGTTAAGTTCGACTAAAAATTAAAAATTAATCGAATCAAAAAATTACATAATTTTGATTAAAAAGATAATAAAAATTAAAAACATTTTAATTAATTTTTTCTTTTCTTTTAATATTTAATAATTTTAATTAACTTTTATTTCGGTTAAAATTAATTAATAAAAAATTTTGGTCAAATTCAATCCGTTAATTAGGTTTCAAATTTCTTTATTTTCGGTGCAGTTAATAGTTGAAATTAATTCTATCAAAACTTTTAAATGGCCAAAGCCATGTTGAGAAAGAAAGAGGAAGCCTAAACTAATTCAAGAAATTTACTAGCAAACAGTTTCAAATGAGATGTTGTTAATTGACTATCAATGATTAGTTTTAGCAACACCCAATGTTGCTCCTAATATTGAGATTGCTCAAGCTTAGATGATTTGGTGAAGTACATATAAACTTGATAGACAATGGTAAAATTAGAAGAACCAAGAAAGAACAAGAACAGAGAGAACAATAAAGAGACGTTTGCTCTTTGGAATGCGCAAGAAGAAACTTAAGCAGCAAACATAGAAGCAAATTCTCTCTCAGCAACTTTCTTCAAGAGACTCTCATTTAAGAACCTTTAGCAAAAAACTCATTCCATTAGTCATAGCCACATCATCCGCTTAGTCTCTGCCTTAAGCTTTTCCAAATTAATATTTCCATTCAAATCATGATCAAATTGTAGAAACAGAGCATTACGATACGAGAAATCTCCTGAGGCTCTATTTTCACATCTATTTCAAAATGCGTCTTGAACATCCTAAGACTCTACGATTCCTTCTACATTTCTCCATAGGAAAGTAAATTGTCTTGGTTAGCATCGCAGCAAAATGATCTTCTATTGAGAGTGTGAACGCTTCTTTATCCTTGGCGAAGTTGACAATGGTGGTATTGTCTAAAATTCTAAGTCCTAAGAATTCAAAATGACGACGAAGAATAGCGAGGAAGCTTCGATAGTACCCACTAGGCGTAATAACAGGGGCAGCAAGGAAGGAAAAAAAAAGAGAGGAATTATACAACTATGGGTTGTTTTAATTTATTTGCCGCATCTGAAAAATTGAAAGTTAAAAATAAAAATTTTCTTCAATGCTATTGTCTGTTTAATCTGTGAGTCTAATGTGTCAAAAAGAAAATCTTTGTCCACACACTCTATTTTTAGATAGTTTGTTAGATAGCATGACTTAACTTTTCATTTTTTTTTTCCTATTTATTCATTTTTTTTCTTATTTTTTTATTCTCCTTTATGCCTTCTCTTTTATTTGCATTCAAACTTCTTCTTGTGATGAAATTGATTTTTTTTTGTGCATTAGAGAGCCATTTTTAAAATTTAACATCTACAAACACACATTCAGTCACATTACCATCCACAACTTCTATTTATTAAGACATATCAGCCACAATCTATGATTGCATTGAGATGCTCTTAGGGCCTGGTGAGGAGAGAGGGAGATGAAGGACCCCTTTTACAATGAGGGTATTTTCATCTTTTTATAAAATATTTTACAAAAAACTTACAAAATTTAGACAAAAAGATATAATAGTTTAATTGTCACGACCCATTTTCGTGGGCCAGACCGGCACTAGGACTTGGGTGGGCTACATTAATAGAGACAAAATAAAGGGAAAAAATAGTGTATTTTTTAAATGCGATGGCATGCTAATTATTTTTTATAAAATAGAGGGATAAAATCATAATTTTTTCAAAAAATTTAAATGAACGTTGCAAAAGTAAAACTATTTAAAAAATAAATATCAAAGCCCAAATCCGCAATAAAAAGAAAAAAAGAAAAACCTAATCTCTTATTAAGGATAAAAATCCTAATTAAGAATGAGGACAACACATTTGTCAATTGAGAATATGAAAAAAAAACAAACTTTTCAACTAAGAGGGGGTCTGGCTTGATTTAATTTTCCATTTGTCCAACTCATATTATTATTATTACCAAAACAAGCAAATGTCATTTAGGACATTTCCATTTATTTGTTTTACCAAAACAATTTTCTACTCATAACCATATATTATATTATATTATATTATATGTGTTTTAGTATTTGATAATGGTAATTAAGGAAGGTGTTTTAGTATTTTTATCAGCTTTTACCAGTCTGAAACGGTTACATTTGTTTATGACAAAAGTAGGTAAAGACCAAATTCTGTCCTTATCGAATATTAGAGTTACCATTTTTTTTTTCACCAAGTTTTACAATTTAACTCCTACATTACTTATTTTCAATATAGTCCTCCAAATTTTGTGTATTTTTACAAATAGTTGCAGAACCTTAAAGCATTTCATTTGCACCTTTTTTTTTTTTGGAGCAAAATTTGCACCTATAATTATATGTATACATATATTAACATTTTTATAGTGGCGTGTGTGTGTGTGTTACAATTTAAATAGGAAATCAGGAAGATTTGATTATAACAATAAAAATTATACATATCTTAAGCATCCAAAATTTTTTTATTAAATGTACTTAATAATTTAATAACTAAATATGTGATGTCTTTTCTTGATATACTTACGTACTTTCCGTACAATAATAAATAAACATATGACTTGTTTTTTGGTAATAAGTAAAATGAAACACGTGTCTAACCTTTCGCGTATAACTGAGTTGTTTATTAATTGCGAAGTTATAAGTTGGTATGACACACGTCACAAGTCGATTTTAGACCAATAAAATTCAAACCCTAACAAACGTAATGCATGGTTTTACGTAAGGAGTTTTTATGTACGTAACTCTTATTTTTATATGAAATTTAATTTATTATTATGGTGCAAAATAAAAGTATAAGAATGTATACTCAACATCTTAATGTAGTATATTTAAAATAATATCAAATCAAATAGTTATAAAGCTAAAAGATCCTAAATTTAATATTTTTGAGAAATAATAAGTTTTTATGTGTAAAGCATTATATATATGAGCAGTGAAAGAAGAAAGATTAATAAATTAAACTAAACCTTAAAAGAAAAAAATAAGAACAAGCAATATTACTTAATTATTGCAAGGGTTCAAAATATAAGAATCTAAAGTATTTTGTGCTACAATGATAATTAATATTAACACAGAGGACCAATTAGCTTTTTGTTTATTCTTTTTTTCCCAAATTAAGAAAACTTACCATGCCTCCCATTATATAAAGAGCCATAGAGCACTCACTCTAGAGCTTCAAACCATATATCGAGCAATGGTGAAGAGAGGGGATAGCTCAAAGAAGGGAAATATGGAGAGAGGTGAAAATAGTTTAGATGTGAAGGACGAAAGTGACGATGAGATGGACGAAAGTGACGAAGGTACCCTTGAAATATCCAGCTTCTATGATGGTGGCATCTATGATAGGAATTCACCGGAAACAATGTCTACTCTGTCGATTATTGAGAATTCCGGCCGGAGAAGGGTGAAATGTCCGGGTAGCATGCGCACCATTCATGACAACACTTCCCCTGGCTACGGCTGGCTTCTTCCTGGCTGGCTTGCTGAGGAAAGGATCATGCCAAGTGGTAGGATTTACAGGGTAAGGGTATTTTAAAAATAAAATCAAATGAGTTTTCAATTTTTAATTTATTCCGAACATGAAAAACTCATTTATAAATTAATTCTACATTTTGAGTTCATTTATAGCAAACCCAACGTTTATGCTTTTATGCTGCAATTTATACTTTTTTGTATTCCTTATGGTGCTTAGCTATATTGTAATTTTTGTATATTTAATTTTCTTGTTGTGCAGTTCTACTATGATCCTTCAGGGTGTTTCTACTATACCTTGAATGAAGCTCTCGACAAACTGAAAGAATTAGGGTTCATCGTTATTTCATAAATGATCGAGTGCAAGGTAAGATAATTCACTTTCCCTTATCTTCTAATATATTTTTTTTAAAATTAATAATGTGCAAATTAATTATTCATTGCAGAAAGGCCTATTATGCATTCTGAAGTTTATGATTTGGATCCAGGAAGAAGAATCCATATTTGCAGTATTTCAAATATTTCAGTAGTGTAATTTGCTTTTCAGAATAATTAAAGACTTTAATGTTGTCTTTATGGACAAAAATATATCAGCTTGTGTTTCTAGTGTTTGCATCTATATAAATGGTTTATGTTTTATGCTTCTTCTTTTTTTCTTTTCCTTTTTTTTTTTTCTTAAGAGCAATGCTTATGCAAATCTACAATAAGCACAAATCCATAAATCGGATCTAATTAACCTAACTCTAGTATATAAGAGAAATAAGAGGTAATGATCATTAATTTATGTTATATATTCCTTTTTCTTATTAGAAAAAAAAAGATTAATTTGATATATGGTAAATTTATTCTAATTAAATAAAAATGATTTCTTTAATAAAAAATTTCTACTAGGTCTCTTTCCCGTAATTCTATCTTCTTTTTATAATTAAAAAATATTAGACATGTATTGAACGGCGAATCACGTTTATAAGAAGAGAGACAATTAATCTAACATTCAAAATTTTTTTACTTTATAATTTCTCTTAACCATTAATCCTTTTGATTTAGATATTCAAAAACAATTTGTCTTCCTATGCTTTAAATCATGGTTAATTATTCACATGATTCCTAGTTTAAAATTTTATGTAGTTTGTCCAAAAGATAGGGTACTTGGCAATTAAAAGTTTCTGTCTTCTTTCCCATAATTCTATCTTCTCTTTAACCAATTGAAATTTAATTAATTAGGTAAAGAAATGCACTGTTTGGCAACAATTAAATACTATTAAAACAGTTAATTTTATTGAATAGATCCTTTGTCCAGTGAATAGCCAGACAAGATAAAAAAAAAAAAATCCCAAATTAATAAAAATTGCAACTTCTTGCCAACCAATTCAGGTTGTTGTGAACAAAAGTCATATTTACTGCTCATATAGAACATCCAAGACCAACTTGTAATCAATTTAACCACAATAAGTGAAAATTTTAAAACTGTTTATCCATAATAAGTTTAAAATCTCACAAAAACCCTACTTATAGCTTTTAAAAAGAAAAATAAATAGTTAGCATTTGTTTAGTTCATCTTAAAATTCAAATGGAAGAGAGACAATAGTACCATTTCCTGTGTTTCTAGCCCAACTTAATAAAAACTCAAAGGGATATGAATTGTTACAATTCCAAATTTACTTTGAATTTGAAAATCACTCATCATTGCATTTCAAAGTGAAAAAAATACAAAAGAAAAATGAATGAGAAAAATAATGAGAAATTGTCAATTTTCTTTTCATATTTATTTTTCACCTTTGTATTTACATACAACGAAAGAAAGAAAATAAATTTATTTTCCTTCTTTTAGAAAGAACAAAATTTTTAGAGAAAAAAAATATTATTTGGAAATTATTTAATTGTGGTCTCATTCATTTTAAAATGTATTCTAATTATTTAGGATATTTAGGTAATTTAGTAAAAATGAGTGAAAATCTTATTTTTCTTCTTGTTTTCTCTCTAAATTGGAAAGATTGAAAACATGTCGCCTGGATAGAAAATAAATGAAATATTATTTTCTTTAATATTTTCTTCCCTTTGTTAAGTAAGGGAAAATATAGTTTCCTAAATATTTTCCATAGTTTTTTTTTTTCCTTCAAAAAAATACTTGAAACACCCTGAATTTTTATTTTCGAAACTTTCGAATTTTTATTAAATCAAAAATCTTGATTTTCAACTATTTGGGCTATAAACACCAAACAAGTAAGGGAAATTATAGTTTCTAAATATTTTCCATAGTTTTTTTTTTTTTCCTTCAAAAAAATACTTGAAACACCTGAATTTTTATTTTCCGAAAACTTTCGAAATTTTATTAAATCAAAAATCTTTGATTTCAAACTATTTGGGCTGATAAACACCAAAACAACTTAACTTGAGTCCCAAAGTTTGGAGGTTGGGCCCAAGCCTTCAAGTAATTGTCAGAATTTTTGATTTGAGAAACAGTTAAATCGGGTCAAACATTGATTTGGAGCCATTCGAATCGAACCGGAATGGCCCAGAAATTTCTAGACCCGCCTCTCTTCTTTTTCTTTTCTTCTCCTCCTCTTCTTCTGCGCGCGACCTCATTGGCCCTCTCTTCCTCCCGTTTTTTTTATTTTCGATCACCGGAGACCAGCGCCACGCCTTGCTGTCGCCTCCACGCCGCAGTGGACTCCGGCCTCCCTTCCTCTCTCCTCTTCCGTTTCTGGCGCACGCAGAAGATGCAGGAGAGCCGCGACTTCCTTCGATCAGGAAATCGCGTCGAGTCTCCTGCTCCTCGACTTTCCGGCGACACCAGCTCGTCACATTTTGCCAGCGACTCCACCACGATAAACTTCAGCACCACCTCTCTCTCCGGTCTCTCTTTCTTTCTGTTCTGGGTTCGTTTAGCAGAAAAGAGGAAGAGTGCGGGCTATGCTTTCCAATCGTCACAGCCCGTGCTTTCCATTTTTTTCGGCAAGACCAGCCAAGTACTGGCCAGTTTAGACCTCCTGCTTCATCACCGGTCCTCCTCTGTCCACTGTCTTTCCCATTTTCAGGATTAGTTGGGGCGCAGCAGCAAAATAGCGAGAGAGACTTCTGATTGTGACTGTTCATCCGAAAAATCGAGTCCTCCGACGTGTTTTGCAATTTAGTAAGTAATTTTCAGCTTCATTCTTGGTGCTATATGATTTCTTGCGACTAGATTAATGAATTTGAGCTTGGATGGTAGTTGTGATGGAGTGATGGAGTTTAGGGATTTTAGATACTGATTTACGCGAGATTATTAAAATATATTCTCAAAATTTTATTATGCTGCCATGGATGATATAAAATTGAATCTAATGAAGTATATATATAAGAATGTTAAACTTGTAGATTTTGACTTGAGATTGAACATGAATTTCAGTTTGTAAAGAGCTTTTGGATTCCCATAAACGCTGTGCTGAAAATATTCGGAAATTTTGATATTAATACTTCTAAATTGAAATATAAGCTGAGGTTTATGTTTTTTGAAAATGGCAAGCAAAGCTTATGATAAGTCAAAGGAATTAAAGAAAAACTTCTTAATCATGCAAAGAGTAGTGATTTAGTAATGAGTTTTCAAAAGATAATTTGCTTGGGATTTGACCAATTATGTTTTTAACATTAAAGTAAATATGTGGTTATTACTTTAAGAAGAAGATAGGAAATGAAAGCTTGGAAATAAAGAGTAACTATAATAGTTAGAACACTACAAACTAATCGAATGAAAGTAATTTGAAATAACTTAACGATATAAGTTTATTCGATATAAGTATGTATTAAAGCCTTCTTTGTTTGATAATTAGCTATAGCAAGCTAGATAAATTATATGAAAGTCAATAATGAATTGTCATTATCCATTGGACCAATAATTGTTTGTGAAATTGTTGTGAATTAATGGTTGAGTGTTGACACTGTTGTTTTCGAAGGAGGATGAGGTTTTAAATTGATTGATTGCCCGACGGATGGGCTGTGTGTATTGATTGATAATTATATGATAATATTGTGATATTTAAACAGGTGGATAGTCCAATTTTTAGGGGAGGAGCTGCCGAAATTTCCATAAAACTTAGACTAGTTTTAATTAATAATATAATTAATAAGTTTATCTAGATTAATTCTATAATTTAATACATAATAAACAGAGTGCTCTAATTATTTTTATCATCATTATTCATTTAATTATTTATTTATTTTCATGATATGTTTTATTATTATTAATTTATTTTATCGTTGTCCCGTTTATTGTTAAATATTATTTATTTAATTTATTTAATTTATTTGCATTTGAGTATGATTGTCTAATTGTTGCATTGCCATTTCGATGTTCCAATATCAATATGTCTGTATTTAATTGCAATACTTGATTTATGTGTTGTGATAAGCTAATGCTTGTTTGTGTTGGAATTGGGATGAAGTGAAACCACCATGGGTTTATGAGGACGTCGTGATATGGATCGGATATGAATATGATATGAAATTTGACCGTCGGCCGGGAAAAATGGAGATCGCAACATCCGTGTGCACTGATGATATGGATTATTATGGAAAACCACAGGATGGCTTTCTTGTTGTTTGCGCACCTATGAATCTAGATTGATTGTACCCGCAGGGTGGCCCTCCTCTGTTGTGAGCACTTGAATGATCTAGATTGAGGGAACCCAACCGAGTTGCCTCCTGTTGGTATGGAAAAGAAAGAGAGAATTGAAAAAATGAAAGGGACTGGTCAGTGAGGATTAGACCAGTTGGCCGTAGGGGAATCGGCTCCCTGGTGCACATTTATGGAGAAGGGCGAGCCATGGTGGTGAGGACGGCTCGTTGGGGTTTCCAAGTGGCGCCACCTTGACTAATTCCACGTGATGCTGTATTACATGAATGATTTAAGATTGTTGGGTGCTGGTGATATCCATTTTGTTGTGACTGACTGCGTGAGCAATATAACTAGTCGGAATTATAACTAGTCGGATGACTAGATTGATATATTTATTCATTTGTGTGAATGCGTGTGTTGTGCAATAGATATTACTTCTTAAAAGGCTCACATATCTTGTTTAATTTTTCAGGAAGTAGGTTTCTCTCTAATATTCAATTTAGGCTATGTTTCTTCGACGTAGGGCATAAAGAAATTTTCCCTAGTTCCATAAGTATTTTACCATGTAACTGTATGTATAAAAAGCTATGTATATCACACAGTTAGTGACTCTGCATTTGTAGGATTTATATATATTTAGTCGTGTATTAACATAGAGAAAATAATTCTGTAAGCCCATATTAGAATGTGATGTATTCTAAATTGGGCCGGAACTATAGAATGCTGTAGAAGATAAACTTGGGCTGAGAAATAATAAAATATTGAGGTTTATTTTTCATAATCATATGAGCTGAATGTCGAAATTTATACCGAGATAAAGATTCTTACCGTGTTTCAGGCTTAACTACGGGCCTCGGGGCCTTAAGCTTACCTGGGTCCTAATGCCGGTCCGGCCCATGGAAACAAGGTCGTGACAGAAGTTGGTATCAGAGCTTAGGTAGAGTTTTTTAGGACACAAACTGCTGGAGTAATAGGAAATTTCTTTATGTTGGGATTCGGCCGTAACCCAACATAAGGAAAGAAGCTTGGGAATTTCCTTCTTGGGGATGGCGGACGCACTGGACCCTATGAAGGAAAAATCCATACCTATTGTGTAAACCAATAGTTCGTAGAAAGAAGTAGTTGAGGATTAGAGTGAAAGCAGTAGACGATAAGATAATTTATCGCAATACCTATAGAGGCTAGAGTTGGTATCAACCCTTAGGCTAGGGAATAGAGTAATACCTGATAGTAGTGGATTGGCTTGATCACCCAGTACACTACTTTTCATGTGAGCTCTATTCCTACAGTGAATAGGATAGTGTAGAGAATAAATAGGTTTTTCATTTTTTCCATTTGTATAGCGGAATTGATGAAACTTTGGGTGAATTAGGAATCCGTATTTTAGTATTCAGCTCGGCTACTGAATTTCTTTAGAATTTATTCAAAAATATCTTTTTTAATCTATTTATTTATTTGATTATTTGATATTTAATTAAAACCCCCATTTTTATTTTAAACCCCATTTTTATTTTGAATTCAAATTGTGTTATGATAAATAATTTGAAATTGATTATTTATATAGAAAATTGTTTTTGAAAGTTGTCTATTTATATCATAGGGCCAATTGGATTAGATCATAAAATGAAATGATTACAAGGATAGTAAAATTTGAAAGAAGGTTGGAAAAAGAAGAATAAGACTAGTGGTGATAATAATAAGTAGACAGTTAGTAATCAAGTTGAGAATATGAACGCTGGAAATGTCGGTAGCCAATTTTGGTATAGAAGTTAAGTGGCGATTAGATTTGGAGTATAGGATTGTTTAACGTAATAAATGGAAGAAATAACATTAGGAATGGACTTGAATGATTGAAGGGTATAGAAATGATATATATAACGAGTTGTAAAATGATATATATAACGAGTTGTAATATATATATATGAGGAGTAAGTGGTAGATATTAGCATGAAAGGACATAGGTTCAACCAGATTGTAGCGTCTCAGCTCGGTTCATTTGAGTTAACGGGTGGACTGGGAAGGGATGTTACATGAGACAAGTGAGTTGAATCTGAATTTGATATAAGTTAGCAATAGATAGATGCTAAGTTAATAGCTCCACATATGGTGCCTAACACTTAGTTAAATAAGACTAATTAAAAGGTTAGCATTATGGTTTGAAATTGTAATCCAGGAGGATATGGACAAAAGAGTAAAGAAGTTAATTGTATATGTAAATCAAACTCGAAGGAGTTAATGAGATCGATTTGATGTGATATCTGAATGGTAAGGCAGCATTAGGTCAAGAATTAAGAAATTTTATTAAAAACCTTAGTATTGATGAGTATTAGGTATAAGGTACATTAGTATTGATGTGTATTAGATGAAAGCGTATATTTAGAGTAAGTAATAAGTTTTAGATTGAAATGTTGGTGATTAGATAGATCACGATTAACGATAATTAACAGACGAAATAATTAATAAGAATACTCTAATATATCTAGAATGGATTAATAGGCAACAATGCATTTGTATTTCTAAAATAAAACTTCCTACTTAAGCAGCTCTTCAAATCTCTGATTTTTGTTTTTACTTCAATAAATATTTGGGATTTTCTTCTCGACTTCGTGATTATCGTTTCATATTTGGAATGGGAAGTTTTTGAGTAACGGATTAAGGTAAAATTTCAGTTTCGGGTTTTACTGGGTAAGGTTGTTGGGAAAGTATTTTATTTTTGGTTTGTATTTGTTTGTTTCGCGAGAAAATTTTATTTTTAATATTGGGTTTTGTTTGGTTCTTCAGGATTTTTGTTTTTTAAAAAAAAGGGTAAAAGAAACGATATGGCACCAGCTACTAACTGGCTTTCCTTTTCACTATCTCCAATGGAAATGTTGAGGTCATCTGAATCTCAGTTCATGTCTTATGAAGGCTCTTCTACTGCTTCTCCTCACTATTTGATCGATAACTTCTATGCTAACGGTAATAACTTACTCTAATTGATTATCTCCCTTTTTCTCTTTATTTTTGTTTGCTTATACCAGTATTGAAAAGGCTAAACTTCTGTTTGGTGTCCGAGAAAGTACTGGAAAGATAAATATATGATGAGAAAGCTCATTTTTTTTAAGCAATCGAATGGAACTTTAATGTTTGGTATTAACTAGTTGAAGCTTACAGTTGCACCAGATAAGTGTAATTAACCGACTCAAAATCTGACTATAAACAAGCAAGTTCCGAGCTCACTTTTCTGTTTGGTTGCTAAGAAAACGTAATGAATTAATGGGAGGTAAAGTATAAACTCCTAATAGATTCGGAGGCTTTCATTAAGTTTTGGTTTCCAATGATACTCCGCGGAATATCCTTAAATCTAAGCGTAAAATCTGAAGTCCCATTTCTTTGAGGCGTTTTATCAGTACATATGTGTCTATATGTATGCAACCAATCTTTATGTAACCTTAAATGCTTAATTTGATAGCTTTCACGGAATCACTGAGTTAACTCGCTATAACAATTATTTACAGGCTGGGGAAACTCGAAGGAAGCACAAGTAGCAACAACAATGGCGGAGACTTCCATTCTCACAAGCTTTATAGACCCAGAAACCCAACACCATCATGCGCCTAAACTTGAGGACTTTCTTGGCGATTCATCATCCATAGTTCGCTACTCAGATAATAGCCAAACAGAGACTCAGGACTCAACTTTGACTCACATCTATGATCAGGGCCCTGCTGCTTACTTCAATGAGCAACAAGATCTTAAAGTGATTGCTGGGATTCAAGCTTTTTCAACCAACTCGGGTTCGGAGGTTGATGACTCGGCCTCAATGGCCCGGACTCAGCTTGGTGGCGGTGAGTTTGTGGGCCACTCAATTGAATCGTCTGGAAACGAGTTGGGTTTCTCTAGTTGCACTGGTGCAAATAATGCTTTGTCACTCGCGGTTAATAATAATAATAATCAGAGCTCTGCAGAGAAATCTATTGTTCCTGTTGAATCTGATTGCCCTAAAAAGATTGCTGATACTTTTGGCCAAAGAACTTCAATTTACAGAGGAGTTACTAGGTAACACAATTTTTGCCTCGTGGGGTTTTCTTGTTTTGTTAATTACTTCATTGAGTTTTGATTTTATTGGTTTATGGCAATATCTTCCATTACTAGTCTTTTTCTTTTGCTTAAACGTTTTTCAAATGGAGAATGCATAAAATGAAATTAAAAATTTACACATTAACGTGTAAAAATCAGTTGGGTAGAATTAATTCCTAACATTTTATTTTATTTTCTTTTCTTTCCTCAATAAATTTGATACAGACACAGATGGACAGGTAGATATGAAGCGCATCTATGGGATAACAGCTGTAGAAGAGAGGGTCAGGCCAGAAAAGGGCGTCAAGGTCCTCTCATCTCTCTCTCTCTTTCTCAATCTTTGACTCTCTGCATATTAAAATGAAAAAATGCATAAAAATTTTGTTATTTTGTGTTAAAAAGATTTATGTACTGTGCCACTGAAAAGAAACTTGCATGCATTGAAAGGGCATTAACTAATGGAGAAGAGAAGAAAGGGATCTATATTTCTGATAGCTATATCTTGAGTCTTTTGTGATGATTGATAGACTGATAGACGATGGTATATACAGATACATATATTAGTATTTATTTATTTTTATTTTCTTTCATTCAATTATATTATGTGATTGATTTGATCAGCTGTGCCGCCATTTTGTTGATTTTTGGCTCTCTCTCTTTCTTCTCTCACCTGGGTCCCCCATCTCAACTGCAAGGTTTTGTTTGACACGACCCACTGGCCATTTCCCGCAACCATTACCCCATGCCTCAGACGTTACAGACATCAATGAAAAAACTCTGATGTTTCCTCTCTCAGCTATGGCTTTTTTCACTTTTGCTTTGCTTTTCTTTCCTTTCAGCCATTTCTCTGCAGTGTGTCAATGTTTGACCAAACCACCCATATTCAACTCTAATATATATCAATGTCTTTAATAAAAAGGGTTCGTAGCCCACTATTATTGCCGAAACTTGCTGACATTTTTGCTGGCATTATGGCCTAAAACTGCAGGTCCTTTCACACATAGTACCTTATGGAAAAGTATTATAACATTAAAAAAAGAGTTTTTCTAATTTCTGATAATTTTTTGATTAGAGTTGAGATTCTAATATGGTGAAGTTCTTGATGCAGTGGAATTTCTGTCAAGTTTAAATAAATTTAGATTGCTTTAGTACTGGGTTGTTGAAAATATAATGAAATACCTTATCTCTTTATTCATAGACTAGCACATGTCAATCACATGGTTTTCTTCGTATATTTTTTGTTTTTAACTCAAATTGGAGTGATGAACTCAGGCTGAAATTTTTGACCACCTTTGTTTCTCATACTGACATTTTTTTTCTTTGCTTTTGCACGAAAATTGGGAACTTGTGGATATTTGGCTCTTCTACAGTATACCTAGGTAAGCTGCTTACCTTTATTTTGATTCTTGATATTTGTTTCAAGCTGTAATTTCTTTTCGCGCTAAATAAAGAATGTCGAAGAATCTTTGTTTAATTGTATATATCTATACATACATATAGGTGGATATGATAAGGAAGAAAAGGCAGCCAGAGCTTATGATTTAGCAGCTATGAAATATTGGGGCCCCACTGCAACTACCAACTTCCCTGTAATATATACAGCTTAACTTCTTGATCCTTTTCTTTATATATAGATATATATATGTGTGTGTGTGTGTGTGTGTGTTGATCTTTGTATTTTGCATGAGAAGCTAGGTCGATTAGACTTTTAACTAATTAAAGCTGGCGGTATATGCCTTTCTTAGGTTAGTAATTATACCAAAGAATTGGAAGAGATGAAATATGTGTCCAAACAAGAATTCATAGCTTCACTGAGGAGGTAAATGTTCAAATTTGAGACTGTAATTTTCCCATTTTTTAATTCTTTATTCATCGATCCACTAATTGTATTCATTGTGAAAATGATAGGAAGAGTAGTGGGTTTTCAAGGGGAGCCTCTATATACAGAGGTGTTACAAGGTTTGCGTTCACTTTTGAATTCTTTATTACTTACATATGAATTACAATTTAGATACATAAGTGATTCAAATGTTGCAGACATCATCAACAAGGACGTTGGCAAGCTAGAATCGGTCGTGTTGCTGGAAACAAAGACCTTTACCTTGGCACATTTGGTAAGGATATGATTCCTTTTAGCTGTAAATTGGGGGTGTTTCATACTATGCCTTTACTGAAAGCAGACTAAAAATTATGCTCGTCTATTAGTTGTACTTTCTGTTTCGGGGCATGAACTCGGTAGACATGTTCAGCTGATTGTTTTCTTAGTCATTCTGGATTGATAATTAATTTGCTTGATTAATTTCAAACGTTTCTGAGATGAAATTGTCTTCATCAACGCAGCCACTGAGGAAGAAGCGGCTGAGGCATATGACATAGCAGCCATAAAGTTTCGGGGTATGAATGCAGTGACCAATTTTGAGATGAGCCGGTATGATGTTGAAGCTATCATGAAAAGTGCTCTCCCCATAGGTGGGGCCGCGAAGCGCTTAAAGCTCTCACTAGAAGCAGACCAGAAACCAACACTGAACCACCATGAACAACCTCAAGGCAGCAGCAATAGCAGCAACAATATCAGTTTTGCTTCTATTCCACCAGTCTCAGCTATTCCTTGTGGTATCCCTTTTGATAACACAACAGCACTCTATCATCACAACCTCTTCCACTACCTTCCATCCGGTAATAACTTGGGTGGAACCGATTCTTCTGGCTCCACCTCATCGATGGGGATTCCAATGACTACATTGCCTCAAACAGCTGAGTTTTTTATATGGCCTCACCAATCTTATTGACCAAAGCAGTTTTGACTAAAGAAATTTGGCTAACATGTAGCGAAAGCAGCCATCTTCTGGCTGGAAAACATTGCTGACTGTCTTACCTTTAATGTAGCTCTTAATTAACCATGGCAGTAGTAGGAAAGACAAGACAGGAAGTTTTTATGTTTTATTGTTTTCCTTTTTGGCGTTTAATGGACGGCTAAGGTGCAAGTTACAGTAGGATGCTGGATTTTGTAAGTAACTTCTCTTAATATGTTGTCTAGATGAGACATGTTGAATGATAGGGGCATTTAGTTGCGGAAAGGTTCATTGTCTTCCAATTTACCAGCCTTGGAGTTGCTCAATCTTCACAGATCAAACATGTTAGAGGAATTGGCTATTCCATTCCATTTCTCTCTGTTTCCCAATCCATGGCAAAATGGGGTTATGCAGTATCCAATTCATTCTCTCCCCTTTCTTTCTATTTCTTGTTATTTGACTAATTCCACAAGGTAATGAGTTACTGAAAAATTAGTGACAATCATTAAGTTAATTTTCTTGAAACAAATTAGATGAGATGGATTGTATGAAAATAACTTCTGCTGCGTGGAAAATACCACAGTTTTGCCACTTTTGGTATTTTCGTGACATGTTAATTTAATTTTACGAAAATACCATTTTTTTGCGTTTTCTTCTGCTGCGTGGAAACGCAAAAAGATTATGTTATAGTATAAAATTCTAATCTTTCAAATCTTGAAAACTTTAGCAATAGAATTACATAAATATATAAACAAAGTTCACATCAAACACGAGGACCGTGTTGGTACATTTCTAGTGCCATTACGAGCCCAACCGGACCAAGCCATCACGAGCCCCAGCGGACCCGGGTTGAACCCTCAAGGCCTCTTCAAAAGCCCATTTAGCCTCATCTCCCATCCCTTTCCACTCATAGCACTGACCCAACAAACAAAATGCTTTCTCACCTTCGCGACTCAGCTCGACAGCACATTTTAAATCCTCAATAGCCGAGTCAACTCGCCTTCTCCGATTGACAGCCATTTTCAACTCAGCTCTTTTCACAAGCGCATCTCCACGATCTCTACGTTCAAGCGATTTCTCCCGCGGCGAAGAAAGTGCCGAATCAAGTGCTTTCAAGGCAGATGCTTTGTGGCCAAGCAGATCGAGAGCTAGTGCTTTGAGAATCAGAGGAGCGGCGTCTCTAGGAGATAGAGAGATTGCCGTTTCGGCTTCGATGAGTGCGTTTTTGGCTAGGGTTTGCGATTGGGATTTGTTTGGTGTGGATTTGGCGCGGGCTAGGAAGTGAGTTCCTTGAATGAAATGGCGATTGGATTGAATGGAGGTTCGGTTTTTAGCCCGGAGTTTGTTTAGGGCTTGTTTGGGAAAATATTGGATGGCTATAAACATGGCAAAGGCTAATAAGAGAATGGCCACTTGTATTGCAACATCCGTCGCCGCCATGTCTGATCTTCGTGGTGTAAGAAAATGGTAATTCAGGACTTCAGTTTGTGGTACTTTGGACAAACAGACATTAGATACCTATTTTTCATTGGGCCGGATCTGGCTGGTTTTACAATTTACATTAGGTTTGATCTGGCCCAACATTTTTTTTTTACTCATTTACAAATTATTACGAGATATTATAAAATATTAATAATCAGAATTATTATTTTGTACGTAATTTTGCTGAAGAATAAATAAACAATTCATCTGATAACTGTAGACAATAGGAGAGAGAATGTATAGGATTTACTTATTTTCAAGAGAAATTTGTTCTTTTTGAGGAGTTCTGTTCAAATTCTAAAAAGTTACTTTTGACTTGCACAGATCAGGAAAGGCTTCCCATACTCTTTATTTTTAACTTTTTTTCTTTTTTTCTTTTTTGAAATTATTTTATATATCCCAAACATTTTTCATCTGCTTCAAAAGCAAAAGAAGGCAAAAGTGTCATGGGATGGAGTGTGGCAAGCTTGCTAAAATCTAAGAGAAAACATAATGACAAAATAGGGATCATAACTCTCACTCTCACCCATTTGAGGACCATAAAAAAGAACTTAATTGCAGCAGCTTTTAAGATAATTTAACATAATTATTATATTTATTTAATCTTTACAAGCATTGGTAGGAGAAAACAAAAAATATGAACATTATTCTATTCAATTTAGTGTACTGGTCTTGGTTTTTCTGCCATGCCAAATTAAAATAAAACATTATGAACCGAATTTTAAGGTAACTTTAGTCCTTATTTGACTATTTGTCTCCTATAATTTCTTTTGCTATGCTTTTCCCTATCAAAGAAGATGATTCCAAAGACCATTTTGCTAATACATGTATTATGTTCATTTAATATAAAAAAAAAAAAATTGAGTGACTGCCTTTCATCTGCAAGAAAATTCCATTTTCAAACAAGAAATGTATAGCTGAAATGGAATGGAAGTGAAGTGAATCTTTTAGGTGATCAAAATTACACCCACACACTAATCATTGGTATATTCTATTTTGTTGTTTTTCTTGAGACTTTTGTTTTTTTTTCCCTATACATGTATATTGTAATTGCCACTTGATGACTTTTTCTCTATGGATTTTACATCAAACATCTCTTTGGGGATAAAATCCTGTAAAAAAAAGACAGGAGGAGGAGAAAAATGTTGATTTCCCCTTCTCAGTACAAAGAAATGGCAACTTTTTAGACCTTTGTATATAGACAAGTTGGAAGATCAAAACAACAGCAGCAGCAGTAACAGTAACAGCAAGAATAGCTCCTCTTTAAGTGTATTAAACATCCATAACAAGTTCCATATGACGATTAAGGTCATCGAGGTAGCTTGTACAAGTATAATCTTGCAAATCACACCCATCCAGGATCACTGGTATCCCTATGTTAGTCTTTTGCTTTGGTTCTGCAGGTGCTTCTTCGCCCGTCAATAGCTGCACAACCTGAATGTTCGAACATTATTTTTAAGTCGTGTTTGCTTAATTGAATATAATTAATTAATGGACTTAGAATAAGATTCTATTAGCAGTAGACTCTGCTTCTTATTAATGGGAAACATAAACACATGGAGTGAATAAATTCCATACCCGTTTCATATGTGGACGATCAGTTGGTAGGTGCTGAATGCACATTGAAGCTGTCAACATTGCGCGTTGCATTTCTGTAGGATCATAATCGTCTCCCAATCGAGGATCAACTATTTCTTTAACATTGTTTTCTCGTAACAAAGGTTTTGCCTGTGCAAAACCAGGCATTAACAAGTTTTTTCTGATATTTTCATGAACAAAACTTTTATCTCTTAGCATAAGCAGATCTTACCCACATAGCGAGGCTTTGTCTATTCGCATCAACTGCATGACGACCTGTTATTATCTCAAGTAATAGAACTCCATATGCAAATACATCTGTCTTTTCGTCGACAATCCCATGCATAAAATATTCTGGAGCTAAATATCTGAAAACCAATTTTATTTTCAGTAAGTCCAAAATATGCAACAGCTTTTTGAAAACAGAAATGATAATTACAAATTACTAACCCGAAAGTTCCCTCGATGGGAAAGACGATGTGGTGAACCCAATTTTCTGGAAGCCACTTAGCCAATCCAAAATCAGAAATCTGCAAGCGATAAATCAAATTTGAACTCGTACTCTCATCACAATTCTGGAGATGAATCCAGTACTACTGAATGTGGATGGTACATTAAACTAACATTCTTTAAATTGAAAAAAGAAAACGAAAACAAAAAATCACCTGAGCTTCATAATCTTCTCCAAGCAATATGTTTGAGGCTTTGATATCTCTGTGGATAATACGCCTTTGACAATCATGATGGAGATACCGCAATCCTTCTGCTATTCCTACAGCTACCTTAAATCTCTTTTTCCAGTCAAGACAGTTTCCTTCACCTAAGACTTTAAATGTCCTTGTCAAAAATAAAATTTGTAAATTGCAGTTAAAGAAATGAATAAAACTGGAAGTTAGACAATACCATGGAGCATGGAAGCAAGGCTACCATGTGGTAAAAATTCGAGGATGAGATGCAAACCACAATCAACACTAAAACCAAGCAATTTGGCAGCATTTGCATGGTTTATGTGTGCAATAATCCCAAGCTCAGATAGAAAATCGCCGATGCTACTCACTTCTTCCCCTTCAACCTTGATTATTTTCTTAACAGCTACAACTTGACCATCAGGTAATATCCCTTTGTACACTTGTGCATGCCCCCCTTCACCAATCAAGTTCTCTACCAGAATTTCAAGCATATGTAATTATTATATGAGTTTCTGATAATAAGCCTTGAAGATGTTCAACAATCATAAATTCATAAACCATACTTGAAGCTTAGTTGTTAGGTTAAACCACTTGCAGGAGTTCAAGCTATTTGCTTTTTGAAGTTGTTAAAATTTGTTATCGAGATAAAATATTCCTTATATAGAAAAACAATTTCAACCTTAATATTGTCAAACTTATCATAGATAGTGTTGAGAGGTTATATATAAAAATAAAATTCAAGTTCAAAACTATGAACATACAAAATTAACAAACTAAGAAAACATCAGTAGGTTTACATAAATATCCATCCTTAACTGCCCTAACCTAACTACCCCAATCAATATATATTAACTCAGTGCCATAGTCATCAAGAAGAAGACCTTACTACTCAAAGTGAATGGGCTTTCATGCCAGGTTCAGTGGTCAATGACTTTGGACCCACGCCATTACTTTTCTCATTCCTCCTAAATTTCATTAGTCAAAATAATAGTCTCCTCCTAACTCCAATTAGGTCTCACTTGTAGGCGGCAGTGACTGCTAGGGTTTTAAAGTTCTCTCCCGCAAAAATTCAAACATGTGGTTGGCAACTTAATTGAGACAAGCCATTAAACTATGAAAGTGACCTCCATATATTAAAAAAGGTGTTCTAACAGAAATACAGAAATGCAGAAATCAGCAAACTAGTGCAGAAACAACCAAAATAACTAAGTCAAAATTAGATAGAATTAAAAGAAAAAAGAAAAAAAGTAAAATCTGATAATATTTAAAAAAAAGAAGTTTGAAGTGATAATTTCTTACCAAAACTGAAATTATCAGTAGCAGCTTCAAGTTCTGCATAGTCAAAGTTTCTCCAGGATGGTTTAGGAATGGACATGCCTCCCCATTCAATCATCATATCAGGGGAATTTTGAATTCTAGTTAATTTCCTTTTCAAACTCTTTCTAGCAATAAGATCATAGTTAGTAAGTAATGGAATGACAGAAAACCTCTTCATGGATTTCTTCTTAAAAGAATCAAGCATAGTTTTCCATTGTGACAAATTTGTTGCGTCTCGATTAGCTATTCTTTCTTGAATTATTTTTTCTGTAGAACCTGCGCTGCTGCTTGTGCTGCTACTGCTTCTGCTTTGATCATATTCTCCTCCTAAAATTGGAATCTCCAATACACATCTTGGTGATGGTTCATCAATAATTAAATCTCCCTTTTTCAATTCAATTGGTGATTCCATTTCTGGGATTTGTTGGGTTTCTCCTTCTATAACCAATAACAATTCATTTAATAAAGGAAAAGCTCAAAACCGCCATGGTTTCTTGTTTAGTGCCTAAGAAAACAGAGTCAAAGCGAAAAAAATATAGGGGAAGAAAAATGGTAATTTGAACTATTATATATGAAAATTGTTTTCTTTTCCATTTTCCCTTTCACTTTTTGCTCTTATCATGATAACAATGCTATTTTAAGTGATGTAAAATAAAATCACAGGATCTTCTTTGGTACCTAAGAAAACAGAGGACTTTTGTTTTTCACCTGGAACTTATTGTTTTGTTTTTAACAAAACAAAGCAAAAGCAAAAGAAAAACGGTAATTGCAAATAGGCAGAGTTGAACCATCAAAATACGAAATTAAAGTTTTTCCTTTCTTTTTCTTTTTCCTTCATTTCCTCAGAAACCGAACATAAAATGAGAAAAAGCAAAAGAAAAGGAAAAGAGGAGCTTACCTTCCATAGCCATTCTCCAAAATTTCTTGGTCTTTGGTTTCTTTATCTTGTATGAAAGCAATAATTACTTTTTTTTATCGCAATTACCCAGAAACTAACAAGAAACCAGAGAATCCAAGCTCTTGCATAGTTTTCAAAGAGCTTAACCAAGAAAGAAAGAAAATGAAAAGAAGCAGATAAATGCAGAGACACTTATAATAAGCAAGAATGGTATATCTTTAGGAGTTGGTTATTCTTGAAAAGAAATAAACAGAGAAGCTAAAACCAGCTTCAGAACAATTTGGAATATTTCCTATATTTATACACCTTTCTGTTACTTTCTCCATTCAGGTGTGTATTATATTAAATTAACCTAAATTATGTATTTTTTGTTTTCAAAAATACAAATAGAATTATGTAATTAAACAAAAAGTTATTTGTTTTGTTTCCAGATTAAATCTTGGCCGTTTATTTTAGGCTCGCGATTTTTGCCGCGACTAACGCTTGAAAAGAACAACGGAGGGACATAATCATTAAGCAACAAACCCATTCGTAAAAGATGTAAATATGTAGGGGTTTTGAGGGTGTTTTGGGTAATGTAGAAAATAATGTCTTTTAATGTGGCGTGCGTAATAAATAATTATTATTTTAATATTGGGATTTGGATTTCGGACAAGGCTGCTTGCTGACATGCCATTACCGTACGAAGCCTGTAAAGAAGTTTGAGGCTGACGGTTATTTTGTAGTCTTACTAAATATTAATCACCTGTTTTTAATGTAGAAAATGAAATTCTGAAGGGAAATAAAATTAAAATTAAATAGTTCACTTATTGACCAAAAAAAAAAAAAAAAAAAAATGGAATTTAAAGACAATGGAATTTGTCGGTTAAAGTTTGAATATTTTATTTCATTTGAAAATAATAAATGTAGGAGTATTTCTGTTTCATTCAGGCAGCAAGTTGTAAAAAAAAAAAAAAAAAAAACAATGGAATTTCGGTTAAGTTGAATATTTTTATTTATTAAAATAATAAAAATGATAGATATTCTGTTTCATCAGGCAGCAGTTATGAGAGACCAAGATGGTGGGAAATTAGCTCTTCCTTTTGACTCTTTTTTGGTAATTATGTTGAGATACAGAACTGGTAACCAGTCGGCTTTGAATCGAAATCAAATTAGAATTAGGGATCAAAAAGAGCTTAGATTGAAATTAGTTCAGGCAATTCGAATTTTAAATTAGACCAAAATTACAAAATTTCAAATTGGTTTTCACTATAACTTTTGAAATTGAAACTGATAGAGAATTGTGAAATTGGCTGGTACCAATAAAAAAAAAAGAAAATAAAATAAAAAAAGATCATAATTATATCAAAATTATAATCTTAACATAACTGATTGAAAATGGAAATCAATAAGTTTAAGCTAATTTTAATTCTAAACTTTTGAGACCTAGAACTGACGATTTAATTTCTTTATTAGGTAATATTCTTAGAGGAGAAGCATTTGAAGTTCAACAAATGAAGAAACATCTTGTAATGTTTTAATTTTGAAGTAATTGGTTGGCCATAAGTTATTTTTTTTATATATCACAATCAAATAGCATCATATATAATTATTTATATTAACCCATTTTTCACACATCCCATAATACATTAAACTATAAATATTTCATTTTACAAACTCACAATTTGGCTACTAAATTACTAAATTTCACTCACTAATGCTTAAAATAAACTTTTGAATTCGCATAGATAAGTGATTGCATTAGTAAATTAAGGTCAATCAATTTACGGAGTTGGTGTTAAGTTTTTTTTAATTAAGAGACTCAATGGACCATAATAATACAATGGATTATACAATTGAAGATAGCTCTCCTCTTGACTCAACGAATAAACTCGAATTTATTATTTTTTTTTATGAAGTTGGTGTAGTTTTAGATGTTCAGAAGAATGATGATATTATATATAAGCAAAAAAAAAACTTATAATAAACAAATGATAAAGACTCAATTAAGGCTATTGCTAAATTTCCATGATGGCTATTTATAATTTATTTTGGCTGCATCAACATCTCACACCAACTCTAAATGTTCTATAGTTTAATCAAATCAAATATTTCAATATTTAATTATAAATCCTAACAATGTTGAGAAGTTTAATTGTCATAACCTTAAAAGAAATTAACAACATTGATTAAGACCTTAAGGGCTAACCGAAATTATTCTCTTTATTTTTTATTTTTATTTTTTTTTGCAAAATTAGGAATATTAATTAATTTAAAAAATACTACTAGAAATTTTAGAAAGTAGTATACTCTAAAATTCACATGTAAGAAGAGAGTGAGTGCAATAATGGAGTCCCTTAAATTGCAGGCTCATTATAATTTTGGTCCACAATGTTAAGTCCTTTGCAGACCTCAGTTTCAACTTTCAAACACATGGTATGTTTTTGCCTTCTCCTTTTCAGAACCTAGAATAATTATTAATTACACAACTCAAACAACTTTATTAATAATCATCATATATAGTTAATGATGTGATTATGCACAAACAAAACGTAGGCTTCCAATTGACAAAAGAAGCTAATTACCCAACTAAAACAGATTAAACAAAAAGTGGTTAATTAATTTTGACCTAATCATCAAAACCCAATAGGAACAAACAATTAGAACCCTAAGGTTGAAGAGGATGTGGTATATAAGACAAGCAGTTGGCTTTAGATGACCCAATCTATAATAAGTTGTTTAGGCCAACAGAATAATAAGTATATTATAAAAATAATACATAATGTCTTGTATGTCAAAATTTTTTTTTATGTATATATTTGTTTGGCATGAGACTAAAGGGTTTTGCTGCCTGATATTTTCTGCCTATTAGGAATCAATCTTTGTCAGCCAAATTAAAAAAACTAAGTAGCTACCTTTTCACTCGATGTATCCTGTGTATTGAATTGAAAAACTTAAGTGTATAAAATTTGCAATTTAGGAGATAAAATGCGCGAAAAAAAAAAAAAAAAAAATTGCATATTTAGAGATAAAATGCGCGAAAAAAAAAAGAAAAAAAAAAAAAAAAAAACATGAGGTGTTCTGCAACAGAGGAATTTTTTTTTCCTTTACTCATCAAATTGGAGAAAACCCGTGGTCGAAAGGAGCAGATAAAATGTTTAAACTTTGATATTTTGTTTTTCTTTATTAAACGTTCTTTTGAATAATAAATAATAAAAAATTTTGTGGTGAAAAAAACTTGAATTTAAATTTGAATTCTATTGTTTATGATACGTTGGATATTTATATCTCAAATTATATAAATTAAGATGAATTACTCATTATTTAAGTAACCCAAAGTCTTAAATTTCGTAATTAAGTGAAATGTTGATGTAAAACTAAATATTGAAATATGCAAATGCAAGTGATTCATGGATCTAAAAATGTAGAACTAAATCACTATTGAAAGCATGGCAATTGAGAATAATAATTGCAAAAAAAAAAAAAAAAAAAAAAAAAAAAAGAAAAAAAAGAAAAAAAAGAAATGCAAAGTGGACAAGAGAGGTGATGTCCATAAATCATATGATTAAGTGGGTGAAAACTAATCCCGTTAAATGAGACCCTGTTATAATCCATCTTTCAAAATCCAAAACCCAAAACAAAACTCACAACCACACCAAAGTCCTTTCATTAGTAGAAGTGCTTTTAACTGAATTCTTCTTACGTCCTTTTTTATTTTGTGTTCTAAAAGGATAATGCAATTCTCTTTTTTGACTAACTTCGTTTAGTGTAAAGCGACGAAGGGGTCGCATCTTTTCAATAAAAGATAAAAAAAAAAAAAAAAAAAAAGAAAAAAAAGAAATGCAAAGTGGAAGAAGAGGTGATGGTCCATAATCATATGATTAAGTGGGTGAACTAATCCCGTTAATGAGACTTTTAAATCCATCTTTCAAATCCAAAACCCAAAACAAAACTCAACAACCACACCAAAGTCCTTTCAGTTAGAGAAGTGCGTTTAACTGAATTCTCTTACGTCCTTTTTTTATTTTGTGTCTAAAAGATATGCAATTCTCTTTTTTGACTAACTTTCGTTTAGTGTAAGAGACGAGAGGGGTCGCATCTTTTCAATAAAAGAATCCATGTCAGCATAAGCTCTTTTTTATTTTTATTAATTATATTTTTAAATAAAATAATTAAACTTAGATTTTTTAATTACCTAGGGGTAACATTGAGTTGAAGCCTCTCGAAATAAAAAATATATTATAGTAAAATAATATAAATTAATTCATATTATTATTAATAAATTAATTTCAAATTATAATGAACATAATTTTAAATGTGTGTCTGTGTGAGAAATATGGCTAAGGTCCCTATAGGATAAACTTTCCTTATTCCTTGAAGCATAAAGAAGCAACAATAACGTACCAGAATATCTATATATGTTTCTTCAACCACAAGAAGAAGGGGAAAGATTAAATACAAATTAATCAGTTAAATTAAATTTGGTAATACAATTCAATAAGTTACATAATAAGAAAATTACTCTTAATATAAAATAAAATTAATATTATTCCAAATTATAAAAGATGCTGACTTTATCTTTAATCTTATCCAACCGGTAAAAAGAGCGGGCAAATGAATATCATATTTGAAGATATTTTTTAAATATTTTCATAAATAAATTGCAATTATATTGTTAACGATAAGCCATTGCTTGTTTGTTGTTTCAATAAGTCGTTGCTAAATGAGGTAGTTGTCGCATATTCATCAAGGGGTAGCTAATTAATTAATTTCAATAATTTGGTAGGCTAGATAGCTCCAAACCGTATTGATGCAATTGAGAAACCAATTGAAAAGTTGGGGGGAAATAGGAAGATATATGCATACATTGGCACTATGCTTCTTCTGCTATACTGTTCCTTTCAATCAAGAGCCCTAAATTTTGGTAAGCTATCATTTTCTTGCAATTTCATTAATTCACAAAAGTATAAAACTACCCACATTTTAGTGTTCATTGATATTACTTAATTCCACCTATTGGTTCCCTCACAAGTGAAGTCAAAATTATTCCAAACACAGGCTAAAAAAAAAAAAAAAAAAGGATAAATTTTAAACAATTATTTGAATTAGACAACCATCCAAAGGCCTAAAGACTTAATATGAGATACCATTGGAAAGATCAAACTAAAATTAATCAACTTTTGTGTTTTTATTATGTACATAAAATTCATAAACTTAAATCTTTGGAGGAAAAGAAATTTAAATTAATCAAATGAAGAGTTAATAACTCTGGGCCAAAGAGCTAATAACTCTGGGCCAAAGAGTTTTCAAAGCCCAACCCAGCATCACAATCGGGACAATAAGCTATTTATGTTTTAATCCAATAGCTAAGATTGGCAGTGTCAAGCTAGAATCCTCCAACTCCAATCCTGTAATTTGTAATTATAATGGTCTAAACAATATATTTCAGGGAAAATATATATTGCTCCCTGAATTACAGTGAAATTGACGTATGAAAACTTCTATTTTTTAAAATTAACTATGAAAGCATTAAATTAAATGATAATTTTATTAATAGTTTGGTCATTTCTTAAAAAAAACGAAATCATCGTGTTAATTGAAATCATAAATTATACAGCTAGTAATCCCGTTATTAGTTTGACTATAATTTAAGAACTCATTTGTTAGTCAATTAAAAGCTATATTTTGTATACAAGGATTAATGTGTTGAAAAAAATAATGAAATAAGACCTTTTTTTAGTTTTTAAAAATAAAAATTTTCATGTACTGATAATTTGATTATAATTCAAATACCAATTTATTTTTTTCCCTAATATTTATTGGCTAAAAAAAAGATTATATTGTGCCGTCGCACACCCAATCAGAACTCCAAAATCGAAACCCCCAATTCCCACTCGGAGCTTTTTCATTTTTCTAACGGCGAAAATTAACAAATCTCCACCTAATAAAAATGTCTCTGCTCGGTGACGATGGCCGCGGCTTTGAGCTAGCCCGGAAGCTGGAGACGCTTGGCGTATGGCGGGCTTGGCTTGGTGACTCTCTTTACTCAACCTTTATTCACTTCCTCTCCTCTCCTTCCTCGTGGGATTCCTTCATGCGGACCGACGACTCCAAATCCAGGCCTCGGATCCAACTCCAGCTCCGTGTCCGAGCTCTCTTGTTTGACAAAGCTAGCGTCTCTCTCTTTGTCTCGTCTAATAATTCCTCTGCTTCATCTTCTTCTGTCGCGGTTTCGAAGCTTAATCCATATTGTGAGTCTTCAAGGTCAAGTTTCCTTTTATTGATTATTAGTTTCAAAGTGTGAATTCTTTTTTATTTTTTTTATTTTTAGATTTGCAGTTGCATGGTGATGACGTGTACTTCACTCTAGAAGACGGAGATCAACGGCGGGAAGGTGGTGGCGGTGGTGTTGGGTCTAATGCGGCACCGTCTAAGGTTTGATATCACTTGTATAATTCCCTTTTCATTTTTGAATTTTAATTGGTAATAATGGATTGTGCAATTGCAAATGAAGTTCATTTACAAGTTACTAGTTACTCATAATTTGAATTTATTATTGATTATAGCTAGTTCAATGAATTTATGGAGATTGAAAATTTTAGAATTATTAACTCCCTGTTGCTATTTAAACTTGATGCACGATGAGAAGATTTTCTTTTTTGTACTGATTCTTTCTGGTATGCAATTTCGATATTTCCTTCCCCGTTCTTTTAATTTAGTACTTGTGAAAAATCAAACTTCCGCTAGAATGTACATAATCGAAGTATTCAACTATCAATCTCTGTAATGGGATTGTGATACAAAAACATCTTTTAAATCCTGTAAGTGGGTAGATCGACAGTAGATGTATGTTGAACAATACAATAAGCATTTTTTTATGCACCGGTGCTAATATGTCAAATTACCTTATTTGGTTATAATATATAAACGGGTTTTTGTGTATTGTTCCTTGTTTTTGCTTTTTTTGGGTGCCTTACAGCATTAACTGTGTTTGCAGAGCCATTCCAAATCTGCTTTTGGTACTGGGTCAAGATATGGTGATTCCGAAATGGATAGTGTATCCCAGAGATTCAGGGTTGAAGAGTTTCCTGAAACATGGTATAATCAGTTTATAGAAAAGCATAAAGCTAGTCGACCATACAGGTTGTCATTTGCGGACAGGGAGTCAGAGAAACGTTCACCTGAGGAAATGTGTACTTATCTTAAACTTATTGATAAACATAAGAGAAGGCGTGTTGCCTTTACACCGAGTATGCATCCTAGTTCTGGTTTAGATGGTAGTAATTCCATTGATGATGATATCTCCTTTTTCCCAGAAACAATGTTTATGTCAAATTGTGTACCTGATAGTGCGCTTCCACTGATAATCAGACAGCAAGGCAAAGAGAAAATTGAGTTCCATGGGGTTCTTGATACATTACCTCAGACCAGGAGTTCTGTTGTGATAGAGAGGCTCGGTATTAGTGTGGAACAAGGAGGAAGTTTACATCGTGTGAAAAATGGGTCCGAAGGAAATAGGAAACTTCTTGGCCAAGAGCAAGCATCACATTTGTCTCAAAAGGTAGTGGCTCGTATGTTGGAAAAGGTAGGTTTTGAGAGTGCTACTGAAGTTCCAGTGGAAGTCTTATCTCAACTTCTGAGGTGTCATATCAGTAAACTAGGCAGCATTTTGAAAGTTTTTGCTGATAGTTATCGGAAACAATGTTCAGCAATCGACCTTCTTAAGATGTTTCTTCAAAAAGTGGGATATAGGTGAGATTGATATCCTTATCACATTTGTTAAATGTTTTTCACCATCATTTTCAAGCTCCTACCTTTCCAAGGTGTATTTTAACCCAAAAATAGTCATGCACTGGTTATAGTTATAGGACATTTTTGCTATGGTGATGCACCTTTATTGAGCTTGAACTTTATTGTTAATGAACTATTAATTTCTTGAATTTCTGCTTTAAGTTGTTCCCTAGATTCACTTGATCATGTTAATATGAGCTAATATCTGGGTTTTTAGCTAATTCCCAATAACTTGTGACAGGGAAAACTCAGGTTTTTATTAACAGTTTATGAAACGAAGAAACAAATTATATTAGCCAAAGAGTTAAATTGTGAACCATTTCATTGGTTTAGTTTCCCTTCATATCTTCCTTTGCCTGTCTTCACATAATCTTTTTTCCTTTATTTTTGAATGGTGAGTATGCAGCTTCCATTCACCTTTACCAATGAATCGTATGCTGTTGAACAACTAATGGCCAACAGAAAAAGTGAATAAAACTGAACCACAAAGAATATAACAAGCTGACCTAAAATTGTTAAATGCTTGGTCAATAGGATGAAGCGGAACTATGCTTGGTAGGGGAATTCATTTGCTTGAAGAACATACTTGCAGTGGAGTTGATATGATAACTTGGTGCGAGTTATATGTCAGACTGATGCTATAATCTTGATGCGATAAACAAGTTGATATCTAATGTGGTTCACTCATTAGTATTATTTCTGTTACGATTAGAGTTGTTTTATTCCTTTATTATTTTAATGATTGATAAAGCTGAAGCACTTAACAATTGAAGTATAACTTGGCGCATGTAATGGAAATTTCTATGAAATTGTTACTATTTTTTTTCTTGGTAACTTTATGTGGACAATGCAAGTAGCATCATCAATTCATCTCTGAACAAGTTTTTTGTATTTCTTCTGATTCTGAGTAATAAGTGAAAATTTTTTTCCTTTTATGTCTATCTGAGATGCTTCTATTTCGTTTGCAAGTAATCTTGGCATTTTGATGGAGCTTGTTAAGGATGGTACAAGGAATGTTGTGCAACCAACTCAGCAGCAAATACATGGAATCCAGTCTCAATTACAGCCTCAGCATCAGAGTACAATTCGGCTACCCCAGCAAGTATGTGATCTACATTGGTTTCTTTATATTGATTTCCAGTTTGACTTTCCATTATGCTTGTTGTTTCGGAGAGTATTTAATTCCAAATAAGAATTAGGTTCAAATTGTCCTCTTTGCAAGGATAACAAAAACCTGCTATTTTAGCGTGTTAAATGAAAATGGTGCTCTATTCAACACCAGAACAGCCAGGCAAAGAAAAAACTTCAATGCTGGTTGTTCCTTGAGATAGCTGTTCTTTATATTGCTTTCCAGTTTTCTTTTGATTGGCACTTCCCAGCATTCTTGTAATTGTATTTACTCTATTAACTAGCTATTCTATGTGATGGTCATGTTGCTTTTATATTTCCAATTCCAAAATGGTTTTCATCTGGCATTAAACCAGCAGTTAAGGTCTGGTTGTTTAGGTAATTTGTCTCAGAAGCAAGCTTTAATCAGGGAGTGGGAATTGCTTCTTGGAGTGAAAAATAGGAGTGATGTCTTCATGTCTAGATAGCCCTTTAATCACAAATACTTTCATTTTGTCCTTTAAATATTATGGAAATTGCTGGATTAAAGTCTAGCATGATTATCCTGAAGATGCAGATTCCAAGACAAATGCATCCACAGATGCAGCAGATGGTTCATCCCCAAACTTTGACTTTTCAGCAGCAGCAGCAGCAGTTGGAGAGAGTGCGTAGGCGCCAACAATCTGCTCCTCGCCCTGTGATGGATATGGATAAGGACAGACCATTGGTACAAGTGAAGCTAGAAAATCCACCAGAATTGCCAATGGATGGAAATTCCTTCAATCCCATGCACTCCAGGCATCCTCAAATGCAGTACCGGCAGCAACAACTTGCTGCAATGTCAAATCTCCAAGCTCAATCTAGCAGTCAGTTTAGGCAGTTGACTTCCGTGCAAGTTCCTCAAATGCAGACACCGTAAGGAAAAATTTCACTGATCAAATTAACTTGGTTGATTTACAGCAGTCGTTGAACTTCTAAAACATGTCTTGACGGTGCAGGAATATGGGCATTGTTAGGGCTCCACCAGTAAAGGTTGAAGGTTTTCAGGAATTAATGGGTGGAGATGCTTCATTAAAACATGATTCTGAGGAAAATAAGCTAACCTCTCCAAGTAAATAGCTCCGCTAATTGCTTTAGCCTTTGACTGATGTTAGTTTAAGGAATTCTCAACCTGTATATATGCTAATTTATGCTTTTCCACGGCATATGTAGTTTTGACAACAGAGTTCAAACTCTTCTATACCAGTTATGTTTAGGGTCGTTCTTCAGTTGACCCACAATTTACTTGTGTTGCTCAATCTTCTCTAGGTTGTAAATCACATATTCACTTTATTTGTCCAATTATACAAAATCGTGTTAAATGTAAACATGTCAGGTACGGAGCTTTTTTTTTTTTGAAAAAAAAAAATAATAATTTGAGCCCAAGTTTAAATCTGTTGTTTTTTAAACAGTTATGTCACGTTCTATTTTCATAGGCCGGAACCGTATTAGAGTCTAGGTAGCTTTAAGCCATTGATCCGTAGTAAGTCCAGAACATCTACAACATTGTTTATCCATCTACGAACCCAATAAAAATATTCAATTGGCTAGTCAATATTTTGTGCAAAAGACAAAGTTTACAAAGCCAAATCCAATTAGGATACAAACACTTTAACGATAACCTTAAAATTGGTTAGAAAAAATATTAACCTCTTAATTATCTTAACTTAAGAATTTTAATTTTTAAAAATTGAGTAATATATAATACATTACACTTCATAAATTCTATTGTAACTTTCAAAATTATTTTTTTCCAAAAAAAAAAGGTTAAAACTTTCTTGATATTGTTTGAAATTATAGGTTATTTGATCTAACTACAAATCAAATTAGTACTAATGATCAAGGTTAACCATAAAAAAAAAAAAAAAAAAATCTTTTTGTAGTTATTAGAATATGTAATGCGTTTGGACTTTTCAATTAAGTTGGGAGTATAGATAATCTCAGGACATAGTAGAAAATCCCATGAATAAATAAGATCAAGAACATGGATATAATAATTTTTTTTACTGTATTTATATGCTTAAAATAATTCTCAATTCGAGGGCAGAGACACGTGTAAAAAAAAACTTACAATAATTCTTATTATATTTATCTCATAAATTATTGGAACGCTTATGCGCATGAAGAAAATCCAGAAATTTGTCTAAGTACCTCTCCTGTTTACTTCTATCTCCAAATAAAATCCTCATCTCTTTAGCTTTTTCTCTATAAACTTCACCCTCTTCTTTCACTATTACCAATCTCAATGACTCAGCTACTGAGTCCCTAGTGAAAGACCCATCCAACTCATTTCTCGGTATTGGGTATCCCATTTTCTTCCCTTCCAAAACTCTAGCATTGATCCCTTGATCAGCCAAAAATGTCAAAAGAATAAGTGGTCTCTCATTTTGACTCGCCTCCACGACCGAGCTCCACCCGGAGTGAGTTAAGAACCCGCCAACCGAGTCATGAGCTAAAATCTTGAGTTGAGGAGCCCAACTCGTGCACACCAGACCACGATCCTTGGTTCGCTCCTCAAACCCATCTGGTAACTCAACAACCTCAGTGTCAGTTAACCCGCGACGCTTTCTCAAAACCCAAAAGAATGGCAACTCGGATAACTCTAACCCAAGAGCTATCTCGTTGATTTCAACCTGACTCGGTTTCGCCTCGCTGCCAAATGCTACGTACACTACATAACCTTTCTTTTGCTTGTCTAGCCATTCTTTGATTGTCCTCCACGTGTCAGTTTCATCTTCGTTCTCATACTGCGTCGTCGGAAGCATTCCAACCGGAATACAAGGTTTCCGGTGAATATCCTGTAATAAGTTCAACCATTCCGGTTCAAAATCACTGCAACTCCTCACCGATATCATTTCACAGCCGTTAAGCACCTCTTCCAAGCGAAACATGTCGGAAACTTCGGAAGCATCTCCGGTCACGGATTCGAAGATTTTGACTATCTCGAAATGCCGAAACGCGACATTTGTCGGAAAGGTAATCCATTGGGGCGGGACGGTGAAATCTTCCGGTTTAACGCGATCATCATTAATTACTGATTTAGGTTTTGCAATTCCCAATAATGCCCCCAAGAATATACTAAAGAATCCATGAGAAATACAAAGATTGGAAGCTACAGTCGGGAGCCAATAAGGGGCAAAATCGTAAATAAGCCAATCAGGTTTTGAAATTTGAAGAAATGAGGTTATGGGTTGTTTAAGACCATCGAAAGCCTTTTTTAGGTATTGCACTTTGTCTAATGGGACATCGGCAGTGGCCTCTGCGTTTTCCGGTAAACCGTCGACGGAAGGCAAAGGAAGTTTGATGAAAGTTATTGAAGAGGATAAATTAGGAGGGAGTTTTGGAAGGCGATGGATGTTTTGAGGAGTGGACAGAAAGGAGATTTTGTGACCTTTTTGTGCTATGAGTTTGGCTAACTCCAAATATGGAATAAAGTGACCAAAGGCTAGCCATGGAAACAGAGCAATATGCAGCTTAGAATTGTACTCCGCCATTGATGCAGAATTAGGAGATTAGAGATTAGGTTTTCAAGCAAGTTTACTAGTCAACTTATACAGAAGATAGAACCTGTAAAATGCCAATACTGACATTTGAAAAGTTCCAATTAGGCAGCTCGGAATATTTAACACTTTATTCTAAAAAAAACATCGCGTAATACAGAGATAATGTATTTTATTCCCGCTTCAATACCGATAGGCATGGGATTTTAAAATGACTTTTTTTTGGACAAAGAACTAAATAGTTCAACGTAGGTAAATTTTGTGTGTTGATTAATATATTTATCAAATCAGAAAAATGAAATTATAATTAAAATTTATCAAAATTATACACCAAGATATATTCTAATAATAAGTATTCAAATGATTTGATAATATATTTAGATTCAAATCCTTTTGTCGATACTAAAAAAAAATTGTTTATCAAAATTAGTTTTATGTACAATGCTAATGCATTAAAGGGCATGTCCAGTTAAAAATTTCAAACCCGTAAAAGGGACTTCACAATGCATGTTAAAAAATTTATTAATGATAGAAATTACATCAGTTAATAATTCAAAATTTATTAATGTTTGCGTACGGTTACAGTGTTGTGTTGGTGCCACTTAAGTGGGATCCATAGCCAATTTAAATTGATGCATTAATTAACGGATACGTTAATTACACATTAGACGGTGGACGAATCAATTACGCGTCCTCTTCTCCTAGAAATAGGAGAAGTTTGCAGCTCAAACCACACACAGCAGAAAGAAAGAAAAAAAAAAAAAATATAAAGAGAGAGTTATTTAGTTTGGGAAGGATTTTCTAAAATTAAAAAGGAGAAAAACAGTAAGAAAATTATTATGGGGTATTTTTGGAAAACACTTTGAGTGCCACTATATTTTTATTACTCTCTTTGTAAGCTTACTATTTTTAATAGTAGAAGAATTATTCGGAATTGATCCCGTGGACATAGCCCTAAACAGTTAAGGGTGAATCACATTAAATTTCTGTGTGTCACATTTTTATTTTTCCACTACGTAATTTTATTGCCGGGGCATTAACATACAGATATTTTTTACTTTATCTCTTCAAGTTCGAGTTGTTTTAATTTCACCATAAAAAAAGAAACAGATTAAACTTGGAGAAGCTGAGAAGTTGATTGAGTCTACTGTTTTGGAAGAACCGTTTCATGCAACATGGATACTAAACTTCTCCTTCGTGTTTTTTTCTTTTAATTTTTTGAATAAATGAGAACTAGTGGTCTTGTTGAAGCTCTCTCCTTGCTGAAGATCTAAGCAGGGATCTGCTGTTGGGCGTTTCTTTGTGCAGCCAATAAGCTCCGATGGGAAGCAATTAGTGAAGGGTCTTGGGTAGTTGAAGCGTAGGACAATGATGATTGAAGTAGAGTTGCAAGGAAGATAAGGAAGATCGAGAGATTGTTAGAATACCTGTAATTGAGTCTTCAAAATCTCTCAACACAGAATTATTATTCATCGCTTTCAATATCAGTCTCCTTTATAGGACACAACAATGTCGTCGAGTTCTTGCAGTTTTAGAGAGATGGGTTGAAGAAGAGCCATTCCATTCTTCGATTATAACCATCTCCTTTTTTTGCTTCGCTTGTTTCTCGCTCTATAACTGACAAGCTCTGCTCAAACTGAAGTCTTCAACGGTTGAACTAGCGCTGGTTGTGATGGGTCACTCTCGCTAGAAGGTGGTGAGAGAAGTGCAAAAGGGAACCTAGGCTTAAGAGGGTTCGAAGTGATACAAAACAACAACCTGCATCTTGATATTGCAGCCTATCTCTTGTTATGTTCCAAGCTCCCTGTTGGCAGTCCACATTCAAGCAAGACCACGTCGTCTTCCGGCAGATCCAACTAACGCCGGATAAAGCTCCACTGCAACGACTCATCTTCATGGTGGGCCCATATTGGGACTTTCCTTTCTTTTTTGTGTCGGTCAATCATTAAAAAAAAAAAAGAGGAAAAAAAAGGGAGAAAAAGGAAATAAGGAATGATGGAGAGCATCAACGCTTGACCCCGACACTGTGTCCTGCTGTCTCGATTACACAATTGCAACGACTAGCCTTCCTTGCGGGCCCATTTTTGAGTTGTGATGGGTCACCTCGCTAGAGGGTGAGAGAAGTGCAAAAAGGAACCTAGGCCTTAAGAGGTTTCGAAGTGATACAAAAACAAACACCTCATCTTGATATTGCATCCTATCCCTTCTTTGTTATGTTCCAAGTTCCCCGTTGGCAGTCCACAATTCAAGCAAGACCACGTCGTTCTTCCGGCAGATCCAACTAACTGCGGATAAAGCTCCACTGCAAGACTCATCTTCATGGTGCCCATAATTGGGCTCCCTTCTTTTGTGTCGGTCAATCATGAAAAAAAAAAAGAGGAAAAAGTGGAGAAAAGGAAATAAAGAATGATGAGAAGCCATCAACGCTTACCCCGACCACTGTGTCTTGCCTGTCCTCGATTACACAATGCTACGACTAGGCCTTCCTCTGCGGGCCCCATTGTTTGAGAATCCTTTCTTCGTTGTGTCGGCAATTAAAAACATAAAGGAAATACTGAATGATGGAGAAGCATCAAAGTCGACCTCGGTCCCTGATTTCCAGCCCAGCTGTCTGATACACTGTACTGTATGTCCTTTGACCACTTCAAATAAATGATACGCCTCTAAATACTTTGCGCATGCAATGTTGAACTTCTTGCATTGGCATGAGCGCAATATGACACTCAGCAACTCTCTTTTCTAGCCAACAAATCAAAGCCCACAACGGTTATTATCCTTACCGCACCTCTTAACGTTAGCCATCAAATTAAGCAAACATACGCAGCAGTATATGGAGCAATTTTTTACTTAGCACCTGAGTTAAACGCGAGCCCCTAGTGACCTCAAGCCGCAGAGAGCCATGACGGTTCCATGTGGAACTGCCGAGGGATGGGCAACCCTCGAGCAGTGAGTGCTTCTAAGGATGTTCGTGCCAATAAGCCCATGTTCTGCTTTCTTATGGAGACAAAAGTAGCTTCCTCTTATGTTAAAAACTTAAGTCTGCAGTGTGGTTTCTCCTCTTCTTTTTTAGTTGATTGTCTTGGTCGAAGTGGTGGTTTAGCTGTTTTCTAGAATAATAATTTGAAAGTTGATTTTTATTCCTACTCCCCAAATCACATTGATATGCAAATAACTTATGGACCGCATACTTGGCGAATGACGTGTGTATATGGGTTCCCTGAACATCATAGGAAGCCAGACACCTGGACTCTCCTTAAAACTCTAGCTAGTCAGCACAACCTTCCTTAGTCAGCACAAACCTGTGCCTTGGCTATTCTTAATGGGTCGACTTTAAAACTACTGCAGATGACGAGAAGATTAAGGGGCCATCCCCTATGAGCTCCGTAATCTTTGAGGGATTTTCGAGAAGCGCGTGGAGGGTTGTGTTCCCGTGGTCCTCTGATCTTGGGTTATGGTAGGGTAAAGCCGTTCAATGGCGGTCCTGTAGGGAGTAAAATGAGGGAAAGAATTGGATATTCCGAATGGTGGCTCAGATACATGGGTCTTGCTTTTTCCCCGAATGCTCGGTTCACCACTTAATTAGTGGCAAATCGGACCATTCTCCTCATGATGCTTTTATGGGCACTGACCTACTACTAAAAGACACCTAAGGACTAAAAGACAAGTTAGCTTCAAGTTTGAAAATGCATGGATTGGGGAGCCTAACCTTGATGAGACTGTTACTCATAATTGGGCCCGAGGAGCCCACGGTGATGTAATGGGTAAACTATAAGCATGCAGAGCTGGGTTGCGAATTTGGGGACGTGACTTACGTAGCAAGTTCCTTAAAGAAATTAAATTGCTTAAAACCCGATTTAATGGCTTTCGAGTCCACCAGCGCAGTGACAGTTCAGAGGAGTACTTTTTAATAGCTTGGTGATTTGCTTCTTAAAGAAGAGCAGTATTGGAAACAGTGATAAAAAATATTTTGGCTTGCGCATGGGGACAAAAATACTAGGTACTTTCACTCCTCAGCTTCCTCACGTAAAAAATTAAACTATATTCCAGGTATCCGGGACTCGAGAGGTGACTGGAAGGAAGAACCGAGGGATATGCATACTGTGTTTCTAGAATACTTCACTACACTATTTACGGCCACACCTGTCCAGTGTAGTCCTGTTCTTGAACATGCTAATTCTCGGGTCACTGAATCTGATAATGACAGTCTTATGGTCCCTTTTCTTGATGAGGAGTTTCGATCGGCGGTATTTCAAGTGCACTCGGACAAGAGTCCTGGCCCTGATGGGTTCAATCCATGTTTCTTTCAGAAATTTTGGTCAGTTGTGGGTTCAGTGTAAACGGTGGATTGCACACGGCTCTTTGCTTAATCTGGTGAATGAGACCAACATTGTGCTAATTCCAAAAATTGATAAACTTGAATTTATGAAAGATCTGTGGCCAATTTCCCTATGTAATGTATTATATAAGATTGTGGCAAAGGTCTTAGCTAATCGAATGAAGCATGTCCTGAGGAAAATTGTCTCCCCATCTCAGTCCGCTTTTGTACCTAGAGGCTAATTACGGACAATGTAATTCTTGCCTTTGAAACAATACATTCTATGAAAAACCGTGGGAGGATTCAAGAACAAACAGCGGCTCTGAAGATTGATATTAGTAAGGCATATGATCGAGTTGAATGGTCCTATTTAGAAGCTATAATGACAAGACTTGGGTTCTGTTCCGAGTTCATTCAGTTGATTATGATTTGTGTTACATCGGTCAGGTATCATGTACTTGTTAATGGTGAAAGGGTTGGTCCTATTACTCCATCTCGTGGGTTGAGACAAGGGTGCCCTCTATCGGTTGAGAAACAAGTGCCCTCTATCCCGTAACTTGTTTCTGCTAATTCTGAGGGGCCTTTCGACTTTATTTTAATTGCTGCCAGAGCAGTAGGTCCATCCATGGGGCGTATTTGTTCGAGCTGCGAGGTTGCTCAATCTTTAATTTGCTGACGATAGTCGTTCTTTAAAGCCTAAAGCAAGAGAAAGCTACAAGTACGGTTGCCCAGCATATTCTTAAACAGTAACGAAGCCCCAAGCATCAGACAGGGCTGTAATTTGCAAAATCGGGGGTTTTTTTTCCAGCTCTAAGTGGAATCCAATTAAAGAGCAGATTATCAATATTTTGCCAAA